ATTTTCCTCGAGCCGATAATGTTCCATATCCATCCAGGACTTCCTGAAAGCCGCGATAACTGTGAGAGAGCAGAAGACAACAGCATGAAGGAATATCTTCGATTAATTATATACAAGTACTTGCATGTCGTAGAAACTGGGCTGAATTTCGATCTGTTGGACCACATCCCGCTGACGGCCATTGTGGGCAAAGGTCAAGTCGATATGGCCATGCTCCCACTGTGAAAGGAGGACGTTCATCTTCAGTACTAATAGAAGTCTTACACTATCGGGAGACGTCTTACGAAGAATAAGAGCACCCGCCGCAAGTAAGTATGCTGGCAAGGACCTAACTTCAAGTCAGCAGCGCTCGCGCGACTTTTCACTGGATCACAGTGAGACGGGGCGAAAAAGGATCAGAAATCAACAGACGAACTTGTAGTCTTGAACTCCTCGAAAGATACGCTCAAGGTATCTGCAGGACCAAGATTGCGATTTTCATCGCAAATGAATAGCAAAGCGGTACAGACAGCTATATCGTGGACGTTCACGCCATGTCGGAGTCAAAGTAAAAACGCCACTCACCATTCTGTTGCGCAAGTTTGCGACTAGCGCCAAGTTTATCCAGCTTCAAGCGCCCCTCCGGTGTGTGCGCTGTCGTGGAGACGTCGAGGTATGTACTCCCGCGTCGAATGGCGGGCATATTGGGCAAACGAGTTCCTGGAGAACAGTCGATCGAAGGAGCGTAGATTATAAACCTGTGCAAAACAAAGGTTGAAGAAATCGCACGCGATCGATCTGAAAGGCCTTTCATGATCGCTATGCGACGACTTATTGTTGAGATTGGACAGAGCCAGCTACAGCCTGATCGAGTCGAGATAAAGAATATTTACAAAATTAAAAGCCTCCGAATGACAGTCCGCCGTGACGTACCATCATGATCACGAGTGTCAATATATTAGGTCGATATGTAGTATTGTCTCTGTAAATGCTCTACATGTAAGTAACCAATACAACGAAAACACAATAAAAGCTATAGGTCGAAGTGATCCGCCCAGTGTCGTAACACGCCCTCGCCTTCTAAATGATGGTTTGAACATCTTGGGGGTCACGACAGATTATCATTGCATGAGAATTGCGTACACCCTCAAAGAAGGCTCGCTCTTTCTTCAACTGCGGTATCTTGTTGAGATTTTCTATGCTCTGAAGTTGACCGGGTGTCAACAAAGTGTGGTATGGAGGTGGCTTTTGATCGCGATTTCTTTCCTTTTTCCTTCGTAGGCTCGGTGGGGTTGGTCGGGTCAGCGGGGTCAGCACCAGGTATCGGCGATGTGGCGATGGGAGTGCCAGCAGGGTCATCGTATAAATCAACTGCAGCGCTTTCGAGCTCGCTCTCCAGTTTGGCGATAATGTGAACAAGTCTTTCTCTAGTTGTTTGCGCTTCAAGATGTCTTACTCGACCACGAGACTGGTTGCGATTGAAATGACAGGCGAATGAGAGCAGGCAGATAAATGTCGGGAAGAGGATTGGTAAGAGGGTATAAACGGCCTATATCGTTGCTATGAGTGAGGCGGTGAGTTCAGAGGATATTTGCATACCAAGTTCAAAGGAAACTCGGCTTGGAATCGCGGAGGTAATGGCGCGCGCATGTTACGGATAGTATCGAACCAGCCTTCCGGCTCTCTCGTGGTTGCAGATGATAAAGGAAGGGCAGAATAAGATTTGATGACATGCTTGTACTTCTCGTGGAAATCACTAGAATATGGTCAGAATCAGCTCATGTAACATGAACCAAGCATTACATTTTGATGCCATTCTTCTCGTACTCGCCAAAGGGGTCTTCTGCGCTGATACCAGAAGTGACGTACGGTTACAGTCGAGTCATTGATGCTGGAGTTATAGTTAGGGATAGCAGACAAATGCGAGATGTTTGAGCTCACGCATGGCATAAATTCTAATATTAGGAAACAATATCAATGCCTGATAAAAATGCGATCAGGATCAGCAAGGACCTCTACGAGTGGCCGTCCTCGTGGTGACCATTTGTCGACACAGAAGAATTGCTCGCCCGAACGGGAAAGAAGCTTTGGTCCCAGAAATGCCGATATCGAAGAGAATGTTGAAGGGAATCTGGGTATGCCGATGTGTGGGGTAGCTAAAGTGTTAAAATTCACGGGTTTGCACCGTCTCGAAAAAACTTTGACTGGTGAAGGACACTAGGTTTGCTCGTTAGATCATCCACAAGAGCGGGGACTCTCACACGTACCCAATAACATAACGGGCAACCAGGCCACCAAGACTGTAACCGGTGACCGAGAAGCGAGTTACCTTCCGACCTTCCTTCTCTAAGTCTGCGGTTTTCTGTCGAATCTGGTTTTATGCGCGCTGAGAATGCTCAGATTTGGTGACGATAATAAATAGAAATACCTCTTCAGCCACTCTTTCACCTCCCCAGTCGATTCCGTCATATGTGGATTCATCCTTATTGGTTTCAGCGAGAAGAACCTCAAGCTTAATGTCACCGTCCTCAACTTCGCCCTTTACCTCGCGGATAATTTTGTTCGCATGACCAACGTGAGAGGGATTACCCACATTCCATGGATCAAGACAAGTAGATGGACGTCTGGCATGATGGAACGACTGGCAATGACTCGGATTAGGCGATGCGGGTTTGGCGGTTGATAAAGATTAATACAGTAGGACAACGACAGAAAGACGGGAAGTTATAAATACATGGAGTCTTGGACCTCATGCCATGCGGTATGCGTAGCTTCCACGCCGTGGGTGTCAAGCCGGCGGTGCTGCGCCACAGTCGATGCTGAGTCCTGACGCATGTGTCAGCACTAGCACTGTTAACGCAATGGGCCGGCATCGTCGGCGTTATCTTGTCAAGTACTCAAGATGGACGTAAGGCACAATTGGTCGACCGTCAAGCTAAGTTTTAGTCATGAGTCTGTAAGTATATGTCAATTCGAACGATGAACATCCCATAGTTGGCATCACAATTGATGGAACGAGCGGACTCGGAGTCACTGAGAATTCGGCGCGGCGAAAACACTGTGTAAGTGCATTTTTCCTCGGACCGGTATTCTGATACCACTATAAGAACGTGTCCTAGTGGCTATATAATAGACTTGCTTGTCCCAAAAAAAGAAAACACTGTGCATGAAGTATATGATGTAACTTAGGCGATCGATGATACAGGTAACAGAACCACATCGAGTCACGGTCAGATGCGCTAGACATCATTTTGCAGGCGGGTAGTATCTGAATAATTAGTCAAGAGTCAGAATTACTAGCACAGTGCATTCGGATTCTCGGAATTTGGAACTGCTAAAAGGTAGCTAGTATTGGTGGTTCAACAACTGCAGGGCGCTCAGTGTCGTGCATTTACTAGCCTGTGCTCGATCTTCTCTGGAGGAGACTCGAGCCTGAGGGAGGAGGGATGCAGAGACGTGGGATCAAGCCGAAGGGATGCGATGGACCGCACCGTGACAAAGATGCAGCGTGCATGGCTACTCATCAGGATAGGGGGGCTATCATAATAAGAATCCGGTTCTATGGGTACCGTCTTAGAGACCGGGAGACTGGAGGTCCTGTCAAGGTCACGTCGGTGCCCCCACTTTAAACATTTTATGCCCTTCATTGACTTTTCTCCAGGCTTCGGTAATGCGCCATGCAACCCTCCTGATCCATTTTTGGTCGATCCTTGGTTAGCGTGCCCCACTTACCAAACATAACCATAACACTCACCAATATAAGCAAGTCTGTCTTGCCGCTATGCAGGGTTCACGAGATAAAAAATGTACCGCGTTGTTCTGCGAGTGTCGCCAAACGTTGCAGGTCTTCTCTACAAACGAGTCAAAGCGAGTAGATTTCGAAGTTTCACTGCTAGGATAGGCCTTCGAAAGATGAAAGTCCCATCTATCGAATGCGTAATCGTCGATGAAGGTCATTGATCCTTTCCGTAATCGTTGATTTAAGGCAGCACCGCGCAAGGTACTTATGAGCATGTGTACGACCTATGCAATAATGCTTCGGCCGTCGGAAGTCTTCCATGAAGTCAGAGCGAAGCGTGATAAATCTCAAACATTTCTAAACATTTCTAAGGGGTGGCCCGGGATTCAAGATGACGGATGGAAATGTTTCTAGCATCGTAGCCAAGTTCTCTTTATCCGCGTGAAAGTGATCTCGGAGTGCTGCAAGGCGAAAGCTGTTGATAACGATGGATGATGTAGTATGTTAACATTCGGTAGTGCACGACTAGGCTCCTTGAAGTTGCAATTGATCTGCCTACAACGATGATCGATTCCAGTAACGACAACCACTGAGCTCTCGCAGAGTAAGTGATCTAGCCTCTACTCGCGGCACATGACCAGCGGATATAAAATTGATAGTTATCGCGGCGTAGACGAATAACTGTTTGCATTAACATACACCAATCTCTCAAATTCCTGATCCGAGTGGCCAGGGTACGGAGTACTAGTGGAGATGGAATGAAACAGTCACCTAGATCCATATGGAGAGAAGCTGAGAAGAAAAACAATGACTGCTCTGAGTAGATGCTGCAACACCTGGTCAACGCGTGGGCAACAAGCAGCCTCAATTAAATCGCGCCGGGGCACGAGCACGGTGCCAATCTACATCGTATGATCGTGGTGTCAGATCGCAGACGTCCGAGGCCGGCAGCTTGTGCACCACATGCAAAAGCTTACCACATGCACTGGTAAATTGTGATATCACACAACTGCCAAATAGTAACAAATATTCTGAAGGCAAGTAACGGCAGCAGCAAACTGATTCCCATTTGTATCATTCTCACCTGTATACCATCACCTACGCGACTGCACATGAGCGCATTGTGAGGGATGACTTGTGGTACAAAACAAACCGGGGTATCGTTATGGTCCCGGTATCTGGTCGTTAAATGAAAGGTTTAGCTTGTAGATTCCAAATACGAGCATACTCCCCCCCTTTCTTCATAAGTTCATCGTGCGTCCCTGCTTCCTGGACAGTTTCATCGATGTACCTGCGGTGACCACGTCAGCGAGCATTGGTATTCGAACAGACAGAGACTCACAAAATGAGGTTCGCATGTTGGGTGAGATTTCCAAACCGGTGAGTGGAAAATATCATGGTCTTGTTACCCCCTCAACTTCCGCAGACGCTCGAAGAGATCTATTTCCACACAGTTATAACTACATCCAAATCAACATCTTTAGGAAAACAGGGGGGCGCACATGTTCGGCTGTAGGATCCAGGGAGGCGCTCGGCTCGTCAAATAACAGCATGCCAGCGGAAAGACTCAGTTTCGGAGACCAATGAACGCATGAATGTGCGGGAGCTATTTGAACAGTCGACACCGAAACCTGAGAGGTCAAGGTATGGTCACGTACATTGCAAGCCGCTGTACCTGCCCACGGCTGATTTGGGAGGCCTACAGCTCCGGAAATATGGACATCGTCAATCAAACCCCAACGCGAGGAGTCGACGGGCTGCCCAAAGAGCGCCGTGGTACCTCAGGGAGGTCCCACATGATAATCATGCACGGGGCGGTAGAGGGTGGGTGTCCGAATCCCGTCAGGGAGCTCATCAAGAAGTCTTCTGCGCCGCCGAGACGGGCGGCTTCACGAACCTTGTCATCGTCATGTTGCAAGGGCGGGGTTGCCCAGTCCGATGTTCTCGCCGCATCTGCGTGTGCGTTAAATACGTCGCTTTCAGGGTGCATAAGTATGGCTTACGAGAGAGGGGGAATTGCGAATAGTCTTGGAAGAGGATGGACATAGCAGCACGGAGGTCAGCAAGTCTGAGGGTTTTGTATGTCGCGGTCGTCGATGAGGATGGTGCCCTCTGTTGGGTCGTAGATGCGCGAGATCAGTTTCAAGATCGTACTCTTCCAGAGCCGTTTACACCAACAACGACCTGCAATTTGCGGTTAGAGAGCACCACAAAAGTGGAGGAACTTACACAAAGTTGACCAGCCCCGATCTTGAACGATACGTTTCGCAGAGCACAGCTGTCTCCGCCAGGATACTGAAACGAAACATTCCTGGCATACATAGATCAGAAACGCCTGTATGAAGCAACGAATATCAATCAACCTGAACTCGACAGAAATACCACTCCTGAGAGACTGCTGGTTCTCAGGGAACGGCTCCGTGCCATCCAACACCATTATTCCGTATATCCTCTATCTCATATAGTTTGCGTATTCCGGACAAACAGGTCACAAGATAGGACAACCTGTTGGACAACGAGAAAATCTGTGTCATTGAATGCATGAAAGGCTTGCTTGATAAGTATGAGTGATGCTAGGGAGATGGGAGTGGTCATTGGATTTTTCAGGACGCGAAAGGTGAAGACAATCTAATTGATTTGGTCAGCTTCGTCAACTCCGAGATCAACTACAAGTACCTGAGGTAACATATACATTGTTTCTTGGAGGATAAACCTGATACTCAGACAGTCCTTAAAAGAACGAAAATTTTTCAGCTCTGGGAATTCAACCGCATCGTGACCAACGTGCTGAGCTGCTTCGCGAAATTCTGGTTTCGACAGAATCAGCATAAGATTGTCTGATAAGAAGCGTCAACATACGTGCACTGACGAATTCGTCAAGGTTGCCTGCGACGAGCTCCTGCGGTGGGTAGACATCATAACGAGATTCCTCAGACCTTGCATGCGAAAAAAAATCCTTGTTGGTCGTTCTCGCGGCCCCAAACTACGTATCTGACTTAGACAAAGGCTTAGAATATCGGCCGTTGACCTACCCAAAGATCTGACCACTGCCTGTCCTGCGTTATCCCAGGGCAATATGTATTGCACAAAGCTGAGAACCACAAGAAGTGGACCATCCTGTTGTTCCCGCGTGACCGCAACCAGAACCAAAAAGCTGAGAGAGCGAACGAATAAACGTCATCGTCATGTCCGTTGACCTCTCGATGGATGTCCAAGCTACGGAAGTGCCCCAAGGGCCCGACGCCGCGCTGAACTCCCGCAGTGTGCATAAGCCTTCAAGGGCTCGGAATGCGGGCACATCGAGGCGGGAGGTCGGGTGGAACATTTGCTCATTGTAGAATTGTTTGATGTACAATCTCAGAGGGGGTGTTATGCAGGCTCGGGAGTATCTGAGAAAGCGCATAACGACTGTGCATATAAGATGTGCCACTGCAAAATGTACGAGCACCGCTGTGTCCACAGTACGTGTCTCCATTGCGCTCTCTACCTAGTGCGGGATAAGTTGGCAGTGCAGATGAAAATAGAAAAGACATTACAAGGCGGAGTAATTGTCCAGAGTACCTGCGCGATGATATTATGAATATACAAGGAAGTCGCCCAGTTCGTTATGACGCACCACAGGGAAACAGCGGGTATGAGGGAAGCTAAAATTCCTACTACCAGGTATGCGGAGAGAAGCATGGAGCATCGTCTTATGCTGAGTACATCCTTTAACATGCGAACTATAAACGGCGCGCTCTGGGTTATCTGCGTATATGTCTCCGATATTGATGAGGCCGGTATGCGTGGCAAAGCTGACTGGCGCTCCTCATAGAGATCCCATATACCGAGGCGAGTGTGCTTGAAACGGCGAGCATCCTGGTAGTCTAATTCTCCTGCACGTGCTTTCATCGTAGTTTCTCTTTCTCGATGGTGGAAGAATAAATGGGCCAAAATTGGAGAACATCATGATGTACAGTGGTGCCGCCCGTGGGCCATGAGACAGGCGTTAGGTAAATTCCGAACAGGCGTGTGAGACTGGCGCCGTCTTGCACACGAAATTCAGCTAGATCTCAATGCATCGTACGGCCTTGGACAAAAAGCTCTTCGGAGGCCGAATGTTGCCTGGTTGATAAAGCATGCACCGCTACGATGTGGATGTATGGATAATGAGCTTCGCATAGGCTAATATTGGCAATTTGGTACTGGGCAGGTTTCAACATCACGATAGGAACAACGAGCGGAGTGAACCAGGAATTTGAAATGGCGGCAGTACCTTGAACTTTGAATTGAGTATTTCAAATTATCTGATACCAAGCACGTTGGACTCCAGACACACCGCTATGGAAAGATACGTTCCTGACCAACGTGCATGCGCAGTTAGAAGAGCCTTGTCAATCACTGGGCGCTGCCCCTAAGTTACTACTTAGTGGCTAAGTATGACAATGTGATAACCCATAGCAGAATTATATGTCCACTATATGCCCTCCGCCAGTTCACTGATGGGCCGTCACCGCTAGCCATAATATACTATCGCGTCCGAAAGGGTCAAAGGCATTGCCATCGCGCTAAACTTATAGAATGAAGGACCGTCTTCCTTATCCGAGATCTACCTAGGGAAGACAGTAGTCATCTGGGTCAATCCCATGGCAAGCGAACAATCTCACACCTAAACATCATGTTTCATCTGGGCAGACAGATGAAGCTTTGAAGGGTCAATCCAGATAACACAGGTGCATCAAATCAAAAAATAGCATTAAGATGGTATAACACGCATAAGCATAAGTAGTGCGAACAATATGGGTTAAGTTTTTTAAAGTAATTTAATGGACAGTAAGCAACTCTGATGGGCCTATGGGTTGTGTTGACTCGATCGGACAGCGCCGCAGCGCACGCTGGAATCAACGCTGCAGAAGACCATCGTACGACTGGAAAGTACATAAAGTCTCAATGAAGTTGTCACCCGGTATCAATAATGCGACTCACAACGAACAACGCAATGTCGCTATCAATGTGACAGCTTCAGTATAAATATTCCTACTAGATATCGATATTGGGTTCCGGAGAGGGTGATTCGGGGAAGGGGGGGTTCGATGAAGAAATTGGCGCTGTCAGATGGCACGCGCGCGTGAGATGGGATAGAGTCGACTATGTATCCCCGCGAGGTGGCACGATTTTTTAATATATTAAAATGTACTTCATCAACCTTTTTCGAGGCTTTAGCAATACGCCACGCAACCGCAATGTCAGAAAAGTTCCTGACCCATTTCTGATCGAGGCTTGGTTAGGATGCACCGCTTATGCAACATAAACAAAACACTCACAAAGGATAAGCAAGTCCGCTTTGCACTGTGCAGGGGTCCGACGAGATGTGAAGATCCACCTCCCTGTTCTGCGAATACCACCAAACGTTGCAGTTCTTTCTTTGTAAACAGAGCAAGTAGATGTCGAAGTTCGCCGCTAGGATAGGCCAAAGAAAGATGGTGATGCCATGTGTCGAATGCATAATCGTCGATCATCGGTGATTTTCGCATTAACGAATTTAGGCAGCAGCATGCAAGGTACTCGTGAGCACGTGCATGATCCACGTAATACTGCTCCGACCGTAGAGGGTCCTCCATGAAGTCGAAGAGCGAAGTGTGATAGATCTCGACATTTCTATGGGGGAGATTCAAGATAACAGGTGAAAATGCTTCTAGCATCACTGCCAAATCCTCCTTATCCTCGAAAAAGAGATCATGCAAGTTTGCAAGCGAAAGCGGTCGATCGAGATGAGTGATGCACATTAACATTCGGCAGTGTACAATTGGATTCTGTGAACTTGCGAGAATATGCCTATAAAGCTGATCGATATCAGCATTAACAGTCGAGCTCTCGAGAAGTAAGTGATTTAGCCTCTGCTGCGGCGGATGACCAGCGGCGGATATAAAACCGATGACCAGAGCAGCATAGACAAATAGACCGCCTGCATTAGACACCAATGTCTCAAATTTATCCTCTGATGGCCAAGACCTTGGCGGCTGGCCAAAATGATCTGGACGGGTTGTCCGTATGTTGTCCAATGACACCCGCAGAAAGACACGGACATCCCGCAGGGTGGCGTCATCGCCATTGATGAGAGGAATTTCGTGAATATCGGCTTGCATGGCCGCGCGGATATGCATCTGAGGACGGCTCGTGAATAACAGGTGGATGTTGGGCATGTCTGGACTCGAGAACGTCCCTACCAACAACTGACCAGTCTTGCCGCCTCTTCAGGTCGAAAAGCATTCATCGAGAGCATCGATGATAATGGCATAAGACGTCTCTTGACGGAATTGCAATGAGTATAGTGGCTTGATGATGAGCTCCTGCATCTGATCACGATGAGATTTACTAGATGACAGGAGGAGCTCGTCTTCTGCGATGACTTTAACAATAGCATCTTTGATTCTTGGGAAAGCCAGTGCCAGCTGGTATGCGATAGTAGGAATGAACATAGTCACATGTTGTGCATGTTGACGCGAGAAGAAGAAGGATGCGGCGAGCCTTTTCTTTGATTTCATCTCCTCAGCTACGGTGAACGCAATGGACGTTTTTCCAACACCAGCAAGGCCGTTGAGCCAAATGTTCGTCCTATCGTGTCGATCGAGGACCTGTCTCAGAGTCTCCCGAAGTGCAACACGTGTGTTTTCCATGCATCGAGAGTGGGGTTGACGCATTTCGGAATCGAAGATGGCACTGTAATGTACGACTTTGCATAGACTCCTCCATGCCTCGTCATGTACTTGGAGGAAAGATTAGTGCAAGGACTAGTGGAGGTAGAATGAGATAATCACCGTGACCTGGAGGGAGGCTGAAACTTCTTGTGGGGGGGCTGAGATTCATTGCAGGGGGGACTGAAAAAGACAACAACAACAACAACAACAACAACAACAACACCACTGCAGCATTAGCAGCAGTAGGAAGCTTGCTTGGTTCCACATGGACGTTGACTTCAAATTCGTGACGGTGGCAGCAAGTAAATCACCCAGAGGTATGATGACAATAAGAACGATCACAGGAACCAAACAATCAAGAACATTAGGGTATATATTATGAGACTTTCGACTCATTAATGAAGTCCTGAACGGTCAATCCAGAGAACACGAGTGCACCGAATCAAAAAGTAGCATTAAGATGGTATAAACACACATAAGCATAAGTAGTACTGTGCGTGCCACTGCGAGTAAATCAAGAACAACATGACAAAGCTTGGGTATATATGCATATCGCCACCACCACCACCTCACTTTGCAACATCATAGTTAACAATCATCGAAGTCGGCCATGGGTTCTGCAGCATCTGAGAACCGCGCAAGTTTACCCGACTGTCCAGGCCCACGACGCACGTTCTCGAGAGACAAAACGGCGCGGAGCACTTCAGCCACCATCGTAGATACTAATTCGTCACCTAGAACTTTAAAGCAGCCGTCCTCTGGGAGGCAGCGCTCCCACGGTGCGCGGGTGGCGTCTAGGATGTGGGGGTTGGGGAAGGCGTCTTCCTGTTGGGTTGGGGGTGGGAGAGAAGTATGGGGGGGGGCAAGTTTGGAGCAGCCTGAGCCTGGGATTGCCTAAATTAAAACATCACTTAATAGGAACATAAGGCGGCAGTCACTGCTGGGATATCTGGTGCACTTGGCTGTAACGTTCTGGTTCACAAGTTCGAAGTAAGGATTTCAAATTTTTAACATGGGCGATCAGCAAATTTGAAATTGATTCAGGAGTTAGCTATGGTCAAGCACTTTGCAAGCGACTTTTCACCGGATCCGCCTTTATTCGGGGTTAAACTTGTTTAACCAAGTTGAATCAATTCGCGACGCTGGTCGAAATTTTCTTGGCCTCGTGACTCTGCGTCATCGTTGAGGCCCCTTTCTTTCTGGATATAAGTATCTAACTGACGTGTTCCGTTTCTGCACGTCGCACACTTGTCCTCTGAGCACCGTCTGCTCGTGCACGTTCTGCACTACTTGTTTTTCGTGTATAATTGAATTATCGTTCTACTCAAATTCGGTCATCCTTCCAAAACATATGTCAGACCCTGGCCCTTCAAACAATAATGCCACCAATTCGTCGCAAACCCAACCGTCTCTTAGGGGACCCGCAATGCGAGGGGCTTCAGTTGAGTCCGACACTGATGAATCGCATCTACCCCAACAGGTCCTGGCGAAGAGATGCCTTGACGTCGTCCGAGATTTTAGAGCCGCTAAGGGAACAAAATTTGAAGCATCCTATGTCATCTCCAGCATCATCAAGGAAAGCTTACCCATCGGCTCAGGAGAAGATCCCACTGCTATCGCGGCTATCTACCTTGCCATGCTCGACCAGTGGGAATCTGAACAAACTCAAGCCGCTCGAAGAGCGACTGGAGCAGTTAGAGAACGGCGTTCGGTCGAACCAGCGTCGGGCTCTCGTGTTGAAGAAGAACCTCCTTCAGAGGATGTCAGAACTCGACAAGCCAGCATCGAGCCAGGTGAACCTGCTCGAAAGCGAGCTAAACTCGACTTTACCTGCCTCGACCTTAAGCCAACGGTTCACCAAGAACCGGCTAGACCCCTATCCGCTAATCTCAAACACACCATCCGTATCATACAGAACTGGGCACAAGACTAGAAACAAGTGAAGCTCAAACTCATGTACCATGAGCGGAGCCCAGAGTTTTATGAATCTGGATGGGCAGATATCGTTGCAGGACGGAGTCTCAACCTCGACACTATCCACACCATCATTACCACTTCACGCGCCGTTGACAAGCATACCGAGGCCATCGGAGATGTTGAGTTCACCTACGGAGTGTCAGAAACGGCCCCAAAGAAGATTGCCACACAGGGACAATGGAATGCGGCGTGGAATAGAGCAGCGCGTGCCCTCAAGTTCGCTTTCCCTTTCCGACAGGCTGAACTTGACGCCTACGCAGAACATATCAATGAACAATTCGACCAACAATCGGAACTCTCTCATGGACGAGTCCTCCGGTACGACAAAGCAGTTAGATTCAGGGTCGGAAATTCTTGCAAATATGAACTGTCCGACTTCGAATGTTTCAAAGACATCTACAGTGCACATTTCTCCGCTGGAGGAAGGATGCACAATGACACCGGTGAATCTAGCAAACCCGGAGGACGGGAATCTACTGTTAAACGCGAACCGTGCCGCAAATGGAACACTGGAGAATGCACACGCAGCGCAGCCACCTGCCGCTTTGCCCATGTCTGCAACGTTGAGCAAGACGGCCGGGTTTGTGCCCGCCGTCATGTCAAAGCGAAGCATACTGAGGACACAAAGTCCAAATCTACCTGATCGATGTCTGAAGCGTCCACGCTTTCGACGGGGTTTGATTTGGTCACCAACGGACGTCTCTTTTAGTCCAACTGCGCGCTCATCCGAGTATGCAGACCCGGTTCCAACAGCACCTTCATATCTCGCTGATAGTGATGCAGCTCATACTGTTGCTAATTACCCACAACTTTTCAAGATAGTAACGCCAATTAACGTGGATTGGTTCCAGGATCTTTTAGTGGACCACCCAAACCAGCCTTTTGTCCAATCCGTGTGTCGGGCCTTGCGCGAAGGATTTTGGCCGTGGGCCGATGCATCTGATGAGTCTTATCCCTCCATTAATGACAACTCAATGTGCACCTGTGCAAAGTCAGAAGAACAGGAAAAGTTTATTGAGGAGCAGCTTCAGGAAGAGATACGACTCGGGCGAGTATCTGAAAGTTTCGGGACTGATTTATTGCCCGGAATGTATAGTGTGCCGATGCACACGGTACCCAAACCAAACTCTGACAAACTGAGCCTCGTCGTCGACCACACGGCTGGAGAGTATTCACTCAATTCGATGATCGACTCGGATGCGATTAAAGGTACCAAACTAGATGGGTTGCACTCACTTGGTGCCTCGCTACTTGAGTTTAGGCGAGAACATCCTGATGAAGAGCTGATTCTGTTCAAGTCAGATGTTTCTCAAGCGTTCCGGAGACTACCTATGCACCCGCTGTGGCAAGCCAAGCAAGTGCTGACGGTACGTGGTCAACGTTATGTTGACCGGAACAATAACTTTGGGGGACGCGGTTCTCCCAAAGTCTGGATATCCTTTATGTCCCTCGTGGCATGGATTGCTATTCACCGCATGCTAATTGAAGCGCTCAAACTCTATATGGACGACTCGTTTTCCTTTGACTTAGCAGGTCGCATGCTCTATTATGCCCCATATCAGTGTGATTATCCGGAGAAACAGACTCGTCTCCTGGAGCTTTGGGATGAGATAGGACTTCCTCATGATCGGCCAAAGCAACTCTTCGGCTCGACGCTGACAGTCATCGGTTTCGACGTCGACCCTAATGCTATGTCCGCCACTCTACCTGACCATAAAAAGGAGGAGCTTGTTAAGCAACTTCGGCGATTCGCCATGAAGAACTGTCGCTGGGCACTTCGCGAGTTCCAGCAGCTCGCAGGTTGGTGTGAATGGAGCTTTAATATTTTTCCCCTACTCAAACCAGGATTGTCCGCCGTATATGAGAAGATACGTGGAAAGAACCAACCCCGCGCCCGTCTTCACGTCAATAACGCTATCATCTGTGAACTGTCATGGATGGCAAACCATATCGAACGCCTTCCCGGCCTCTTATTTTACAAATCATTGGATTTTGACCCGCTCTCTGATGATGTAGTGGTCGCCTATACGGATGCATCAGGTTTGGGAATGGGTCTATGGTTTCCTCATGATAACTTCGCGGGACAATCTGCATTGCCTGTAGGTGCTCCCAAAGACACGATCTTCTTCTTTGAAGCTCTGGCTGTTTGTTCCGCGGTGCATGCTATACACAACATGTCGGACCCCCCTTCGCGTATGCTCATTTACACAGATAACACAAATACTGTCGCGATGTTCAGTTCGCTTCGTGCACACCCTCCTTATAATTCAATCATGCTCTCGGCGGTCGACGTCCTGCTCAAATATGACGTGGACTTACGAGTGGAGCATGTGCCTGGTTGTGAGAATGGAGTTGCAGATACGCTCTCACGTTTTCAGAACGAGCGTGTCCAAGAGCTGGCCCCAGCGGCCTCCTTTTTTGATTTTGAACCCCCTCGAGATGCGCTGGGGGCAGCCAAAAAATAATGCAGGTGTCTGCATCGTCCAGGCAGCCTTTGAGGGAAGCCTGGACGCACGAGCGTCTCTTGTACGAACGCTCTGTGGCACTCGGTTTTGCAATTGACTCCACCACCGCATCTGTCTACGACTCACATCTCAACTCTTACATTACCTTTTGTAGGCTGCATCAGCTTCCCATCGACCCCACTGTCGATACTTTGTCATTCTATGTTGTGTGGCTCTCGCACCACATTGAGCCTCGCTCCATCGACTCATATCTATCAGGAATCGCTAATCGGCTGGAAGAAGGATATCCATCAGTCCGTTCGGCTCAGCGGTCCTCTATTGTGGCACGAACTTTGCGTGGCTGCAAACGCCGTATGTCGAAACCAGTGCAGAGGAAGCTTCCTTTGTGCGTGGATGACCTACAGCGGGCTCGCACAGCTTTTGGCTCACCGCCACGTCACGACGACAGTTTGTTCTTAGCGCTCCTGTTTACTGGCTTCGTAAGCCTGCAACGGCTGGGTGAACTCACCTGGCCTGACGCCATCAAACACCAGACCTACCAAAAAGTCCCTTGGCGACATACTCTTACCATCACTGAAAACGCCATCTCCTACACCTTGCCTTACCAGAAGAATGATAGTTTGGGGACTGGTGCGACCATCCTCATTGTGTCTGACTCAATACCTGGACTCGACCCTTTGCCTATATTGTGGCAGTATTTGGCTCACCGCGACTCTGCTTATCCCTTCCGCCCAGCTCTGTGGCTGACGAGCAGCGGATCAATCCCAACGAGGAGTTGGTTCCTGCGGCGATTGCGGGAGAAGTGCGGGAGTTCATTGTCGGGTCATTCGATGAGAGCTGGAGGCGCGACAGCATTAGCTATCGCGGGAATGACTCCGGATCTCATTCAAGCTGCAGGAAGATGGTCTTCTGATGAATTCAAGAAGTATGTGCGTCAACATGCTTTCTTACTAAATGCTCTACTGCACGGCTCAGCGCGCGCGCAATAAAAACGGCTCATCGACTCATTCTTATTTCCACAACTCCTTTACTCGGCTTATCTACGACTCTACGACTTCTGCAACTGGCACCAAGACCACAAAACAAAGAACAACACCGTATAAAAAAAATAAAAAATAAAACCTTCTAGCCCATTAGGATGTCCATCGTGCCTTCGCCACTCATGTCTTTCACTCCAGTCTGTGGGGTTCTGCTTCTAGTTCATTGCTCATTCAAAGCACTCAAAGCACACGTTATCGAGTCTCGCATCTACCTTGCCTTATGCTGCCGTGTCATGTACTATTTCTGTCTCTCGGTTCGCAATAAAATTTGTCCGAGTCCCCCGGGCGTGGAGCTGGGGGACTCCGCTTGCCTAAATACCGCGAGACCTTAGCGCAAAACTGATTTTAGATGTACTTAGCAGCAGTAACACGACCGACCGGGTCCATGTTCTCCGATTTCTATCATCATTGCTACTGACTGCTGCTGAGTCGTTGTTGCATATGGACGAAGTTGGGAATCGGTGTCCGGGGAGGGAGGTTCGGTGTCCGGGGAGGGAGGTTCGGTGTCCACATGGGAGAGTGCTGCCGGGTACCTCTGCGAGGCAGCCCTATTTTTTAAAATATTTAAATGCACCTCATCAACCTTTCTCGAGGCTTTAGCAATACGCCATGCGACTTTAATGTCCGACAAGCTCTTGATCCATTTCTAATCAATGCTTGGTTAGGATGCACTGCTTATCCAACATAAACAAAACACTCACGAAAGATGAGCAGGTCTGTTTTGCACTGTGCAGGGGTCCTACGAGATGTGAAGAACCACCACCCTTTTCTGCGAATACCACCAAACGGCGCAGTTCCTGCTCTGTGAACTGAGAAAGCAGCCTTCGCAATTCACTACTAGGATGGGCCAAAGAAAGATGGTGATGCCATCTATCGAATGCATAATCGTCGGTCATCGGTGATTTTCGCAATAATGATTGAAGGCAGTAGCATGCAAGGTACTCGTGAGCACGAGCACGATCCACGTAATGATCCATCGACCGTAGAGGGTCCTCCATGAAATCGAAGAGCGAAGTGTGATAGATCTCGACATTTCTATGGGGGAGATTCAAGATAACAGGTGAAAATGCTTCTAGCATCATCGCCAAGCTTTCCTTTTGCTCGAAAAAGAGATCTTGCAAATTTGCAAGCGAAAGCGGGTCGATCGAGATGGGTGATGCACGTTAACATTTGGCAGTGCACAATTGGATTCTCTGAACTTGCGAGAATATGCCTATAAAGATGATCGATATCGGCATTGACAGCAGAGCTCTCACGGAGTAAGTGTTTTAGCCTCTGCTGTGGCGGATGATCAGTGGCGGATATAAAACTGATGACTAGCGCAGCATAGACGAATAGACCGCCTGCATTAGACACCAATGTCTCGAATTCATTTTCTGATGGCCAAGACCTTGGCGGTTGGCCAAAATGATCTGGACGAGTTGTCCGTATGTTGTCCAACGACACCCGCAGAAAGACACGGACATCCCGCAGGGTGGCGTCATCGCCGGTGACGAGGGGAATTTCGTAAATATCGGCTTGCATGGCCGCGCGGATATGCGTCTGAGGTCGGCTCGTGAACACCAGGTGGATGTTGGGCAAGTCTGGACCCGAGAGCGACTCTGTCAACAGCTTAACCAATCTTGCCGCCTCTTCAGTGGAAAAGCATTCATCGAGAGCATCGATGATAATGGCATAAGACGTCTCTTGACGGAATTGCAATGAGTATAGTGGCTTGATGATGAGCTCCTGCATCTGATCACGACGAGATTTACTAGATGATAGGAGGAGCTTGTCGTCTGCGATGGCTTTCATGATAGCATCTTTGATTCTTGGGAAAGCCAGTGCCAACTGGTATGCGATAGTAGGAATGAACATGGTCGCATGCTGTGCATGTTGACGCGAGAAGAAGAAGGATGCGGCGAGCCTTTTCTTCGATTTCATCTCCTCAGCTACGGTAACCGCGATGGACGTTTTTCCAACACCGGCAAGACCTTTGAGCCAGATGTTCGTCCTATCGTGTCGATCGAGGACCTGTCTCAGAGTTTCCAGAAGTGCAACACGTGTGTTTTCCATGCATCGAGAGTGGGGTTGAGGCTTTTCGGAATCAAAGATGGCACTCTCATGTACGACTTCGCATAGACTCGTCCATGCTGCGTCATGTTCTTAGAAGGCGGGTTAGTGCAAGGACTAGTAGAGGTAGAATGAGGTATTCACCTGGACTCATTATGAGGGGAGAAAAGACAACAACGCTACCATTACAGCATTGACAGTAGGAAGCTTTAATGCTCGGTTGCACATGGACAACTTTGGACAACGCCTCGACGGCCTCGTGTTGACCTCGTGACGGTGGCAACTTCAAGCAAATCACGCAGGGGCATGATGACGATAAGAACAGCAGTGAATCAAGAATATCAGGGTAGTATAAAAACATATCTTGCGACAGGATCCAAACCACAATATTGAGGCAGGTATTATCATCAAGGTATCATCGCAAACATTAATGCATCACACGCTCATCCTCACCTAGTCATCTAGTTCCCTATGGCAAGTAAACGGCCTAACATCCAAACACCATCTTCGGATCTGAACAGGGTCGATCCAGATAACACAACTTGAGTACACAACATGCATCAAATCAAAAAGTAGCATTAAGATCGTATAACACGCATAAGCATAAGTAGTACTGTGCGAGTAAATCAAATGACAACATGACAAAGCTCGGGTATCATATCCACCACCACCACCGCCACCACCACCTCACTTCGCAACATCATAGTTAACAATCATCGAAGTCGGCCACGGGCTCTGCATCATTTTCTCATTCAAATATGCATAATGCAACGCCGGAAGCGCAGCATCTGAGAACCGCGCAAGTTTACCCGACTGTCCAGGCCCACGACGCACGTTCTCGAGAGACAAGACGGCGCGGAGCACTTCAGCCATCATCGTGGATGCTAATTCGTCACCTAAGACTTTGAAGCAGCCGTCCTTTGGGAGGTAGCGTTCGCGCGGTGTGCGGGTGGCATCTAGGATGTGGGGGTTGGGAAAGGCGTCTTCCTGTTGGGTTGGGGTGTGTGAGAGAGGTATGGGTATTTTGGATGGTTAACTCACGTTCATGTTTGCAGCGGCGACGTTTAGGAACAGACGTTGGCCTTGCTTCACGTTCAAAGACCCAATGGATTCGTCTTGCTTCGCGACACGGTAGGTACCAGCGAACGGTGGGTCGATTCCTGAATCCTCCGTCAGAAAATGAGTCCATGAACCAGAACGAAACACATACTGAGCGCCTCGGTAACATAAGCAGTGAGACTACCAAAGTCCTTAGCATCCACTTTCTTATTCGCCGCGATCGTCACTTCCGAATCATACTCCTTGTGAACGAGCAAGTTGACGACGTTCGTCAAAGCTACAGTCCCATCAGCTTCGCTCATGAACAAACAAACAGAAAGAACATACCAAGAGACATCTCAACAGTAGCACCAACCAACAACGCCAGAATCGAGTTCACAACATGCTCCGTCGAACACCCAAACTCAAACAAGCGCTTCACGATCTCATTATGGTTCTTCTTCTTGCTGAAGAAACCAGACACCGTGCCAATCAACCCAGCAAACGGTAACTTGCTCCCTGCACTCCCAAGAGCACCCTTGATCAGATGCGTCAGCTCCTGCACATGCTCCTTCACCCTCTGCCTGATCGGCATATAGTATGCCAAGTCGACCTCGAGGAAGATGAATCTTCAAAGAACAAAGATCAGCGATCATTAGGAAAAGGAAAAAGGCATGTGACGACTAACTGGTAAATCTCCCCAAGCATATCAAACAACTGAGACTCGGTGAATACACCATGAGGATTCTGTTTCGTCTTGAGTGGGATACCAGCCTGCAATACGATCACAGATCACAATATATCAGCACCCCACATCGTCCCTCAAAATTAATAGACATACAACTTCCGTAGCAGCCCAATGCAACGGCACGAACTTCAACACGTCCCTCACGATATTGACACCACACGTGTTCTGCCCAATCAACGAGAACGAATGCAGCTCGATGAGCTCCTTCGTCTTGTTGTGGAAGTATGTCCCGATCGCACTGGTGGCTTCTGGTGAAGGAACAAGCGCACTGATGAATTGCTTCTGCTCTTCAACCCCGGTTGAAGATGCCGTAAAGAATCTAATTATCCTATCCTGTTAGCGCCGATCCAAACTTAAGTATGTCGGGCATGACGTACCCTTTGCCCTTCATGACCTCTGCCGCGCGTTCGACGTACTCAGGTACGTATTTACCGGTGCTTCGTAACACCTGGCCAACCTCCACGTAACCATCAACAGTAGTAGCAGGCTCGCTTGGCTTTGGCCTCGCAACATCATACCCGTCAACCTTGCCAAGGTTCTTCAAGTACCCCTCCATCGAATCGGGGTGTACGAGAGGGAACCATGTGTAGACACTGTCTTTGCTGTAATCGTTGGGCAGCGTGCGTAGGAAGAGACGGCCGAGGGTGGATCCGAACCCGTATGCATCAGGGTCCCGCTGGCAATCGGCGAAACCCCAGGCGGTCAGGTTGTAGGGCGTGAAGTCCTGTGTGTAGAAGCGGTCACCACGCGTTAGGGCGAATGCATCGGAGAGAATGGCACGGGAGATGGTGTACCCTGTAACACGTAAGTATTCATCAGTATGGGTTAAATGAAAGGGTCTTGCCTGGGCAGAGACCTGCACCCTCGATGAGAGGCTTGGTGTCCTCGGCCTGGAGACCGACGTACAACTCCAAGTTGTCGATGTGACCATAGAGCTTTTCAGCAGCGTCGGCAACCTCGGGGTTGGGGTTCCATTCCAAGAAACTGGTGTACGCTGCAACACACTAAGCATCCAAGAGAGATGGAGATGTCGGGGCTGAACCACTCACTCTTCAAGCCAAGGAACTTCCTAAAGTCGTTGAGCGAACAAACGCCCCATGCTCGGTTAGCCTCAATACCCATGATCTCGTGGAGACGCATGACTGCGGGTGTGCTACGAGCACCGAAGCTCGCAGCACGATGGGAGGTCCTAAGATAAAACGTCAATTCTGGCACAAGATAGGATATGATGATCACTAACGCGCCCTGAAGCAAACTGGCAAGATCAGAGTCCTTAAATGATCCCTTGTTAGGACCCTCTGTCTCGCGTTGAAGGCTGCAAGGAAATGTAAGCAGTGGCACTAGCTGTGGGTCCCAAGATCACTCACGTCCCGAATGTCCACTGCTGAAGATCCGGCTCAGATTGCGTGAGCACAGCTTCTTTTGTGTAAAAGTCCTTCAAGCTGATATCCTCAGGGCTCTTGTCAGGGAACAGCTGCTTGAGCTGGAGAGCGATCCACTCCTCGTCCTCAACAGAGGTGGTCGCGTGCCATCTGTACAAGCAGTTGAATTCGACACTGCAAGCATTACCACGGCCACGCTCGAAGACCGAGTGATCGTCATTACGAATTTCTTCGAATGGCTCCAAACTCCAGCTCGACCCTTTTCGGACGAGGCCCAGAATAGCAGAGAAGTAGTCCGAGAAGACAACGGCTGCGAACCATGCACAGTTGCAAAGGCGGGCAATCTGGAAGATCTCTTCGTCTTGCTTGGAGAGCTGGGCATGGCTGAGGTGGTGGTGGTGAGCAGGATCCTTCCAGGTACCGCGTTCATTTATTTCGAGTAACCGACGAGCAATGTACTGTGATCCAATAGCTTGAGTTGATGATCGTGGGAACATGGGGGGAACATACGTTGTGGTTTCTGTTGAACAATATCAAGAGGACACAAACTGGGGGAGGAAGGAAAAGGAGACGATCCTCTGCGAATACATCGAGGTGAAGCAAACCACGGCCGTCCTTGTTCCTGACCTATGATAATGTAAGATACTGGTGGTTCAACGTCGATGTGGAACTAACCTTGTCCTGAGTTTCTTGGTCATTTCCATACAAGGGTGCAAGATCAACGTAACCCGAAGTCATGTTGATATGTTGCCTGCCGGGAGTATGATCAGAGCGGAATACACTATGAATGACGAGTGCCGCAAAGGAGAACATGAGGGCAGATAGACCCTGGGGATGCGGGGTAAACTAGAAATGAAGTTGGGTAAGAGATTGAAGGAGATGTAGTCAAAGACAGGTACCTTCTCTCTGCGGAGGAGAGTATCAAAGACGAGACCAGCATCGGGCATTTGGTTGCGCGGCAAGGGGTTTGCTCCTTGAACAGACCGTGCATAAGGTGTACCAGCTTTTCCAAGGTTTGGAGCATCAGGGTTGTTGCCTGAACCGTCAGCAGCGCGGAACTGAAACTCGGGCCCAATATATGTAGCAGGGGGGTGGGCGAGGTCGTTGTACACTATGACAGAGTTAGCGTTCCTGGTTTAATGGCGTGTGAAGCAGCTGCTACTTACGTAGCTTGATGGTGAAAGTGCGAGCCATGCCAGAAATTTTTCCTGAAGGGTGATTGGCCATGAAGGACAACAAGTGTTCCAACTTTGCAGACGACAGTTAGGGAGATCTATGGTGGAGGTAAATAGACTTACGAGCATCTTGCGGTCATCAACTGCATCTGCATGCTTGATGGCATCAAGAGCTGCGGACTGTAAGCCAAAGGTTAAATTGTATCAAGTGAAGATGAGATGTACGACGGACAATGGCAGACTCGTTTATCTCTTCGAGAGGGCGTTTCATCTAAACAAGTGAGTTGCTGAGCGAATATTTTCAAATGTGAACATACGAGGTCCTTGATGTGTGCCAAGGCTTTGGCTGTGCTTGCGTCGCCCGAGGAAGGAGCGTCGGCAAGTGAGGTCGGTAATGTTGAACCATTCTATAAGAATTGTAAGGACTAGTACTCTACATATGAAAGTTGAAAGCTTACTGCCTGGCTCTTCGAAGAGAAGCGGGTGGAGAGGGTTCTGTTAAGGGACATGGTGGTGATGAATGAGGACCTGGAGTTTACGATGAGCGTCTGGCATGTTATATAGGCGGGGGACTGGTACCGAGCAGGGCACCGGATGTAAGTTCGAGTTTGAACCGAATAGCTAAGTGTGGGTGCGCATCTATCAATCAATAACCAAATTTGCATTACTTCTTTGCGGGATTTGAGGTAAGCGAAGCCGTACCGGCGATTGAAAGATTTGTACTAGTTCTCCGCGAACTCATTTGGAGGATGATGGGCTAGAATGGGTATAAGAGAAAACCGTACCGCTCAGCTTTTGTTCGTTGTGCTGGACCAATGCTGGACGATGAGCTACCCGGAAGGATTTCATTTACCTTGAATAGTTTTAGGACCCCGGGTACCATGTACTTCGAACCTTTCAACGTTCCATTCTGAAGCTTAATAAAGGGACAGGTTAGTCTTGTGATTGCGGTCTGGGCGTATTTTTGTATCATGTGAGAATAATGTGAACAACTCGACAGGGCGCGACATCTAACTTGACTTGTAACGCGACTCGTACACGTAAGCACGTGAGTTAACTTTGACCATGACTTCACCAGATCTCTACTTCATCAAACAACAATTCACCCTCGGCGCATACCCCGCCCTCTTATCAATCTCACTCCCAGACGACTCTTCACCCGACTACATCCCTACTCTTCTCTACAAAGTCCGTGCACACCTGGCCCTGGGCGACGACACAGCAGCACTCGCCCTCCTTCCTACCGACACGGAGAATATCGTGCTCCGAGCGGCCGCTGCACTTGCAAGAGGCGAACAAGGCCTAGAAACACTCCGCGACTTATGCGTAGAGATAGAGGCCGATGAAGACTCTGAGGAATGGGAGAAAGAAACCGTCCAAGTTTTAGCTGCAACCGCGTTCATACGTGCAGGCGAAATAGAAGAAGCCCTCGAAACACTCCGTGGTGAAGGCAAAATCGGTGATGAACCGTCAGCAACCTTTTCTTGCTCTGATGAAACCATTCGACTGATGATGAATCGATAGAGCAGCGCTGCTATCTCAAGTATACCTCTCACTGGCTCGTCCAGCACTCGCCCAAAAGGTCCTAGCACCAGCATTGAAAGCAAACCCAGACGCACTCGTCCTCCAACTCGCAGAATCAGCCATCTCCCTCGTAACAGGCTCACAAGGCACAAGCGGCAAGTCATCCTCCCAAATCTACCGTACCATCACTCAAATATAACAGGCGAACCATACGCACCCGCACTCTCATTCTACAGTGAACAAGTAGCAAACCCCTCTATTTCCTCTGCCGCTCTCCTAGTTGGCAGAGCAGTAGTCCGCATCCTCCGCGGCGAACTCTCCCCTGCCCAGAGCGATCTAGAAGAAGCAGAATCAATCCTCACCCGCGCTAAATGCGAACAAGGCTCTAGTGATATGCTCGTTGCTATGGTCGTTGCTGCTGGCCTGAGCGCCAAAAAGGGCGAGGCTGATCAGTTATGGAGGTGAGTCTCTGTCCTCTCCGGTTACGAGCGGTTTTAATAGGACCACGTCAGTCGCCTGTTAAAGCAACATCCTTCCCATCCCTTGGTCGCAGATATCGGTGCTAAGGAACTTTTGTTCGATGAATGCGCTTCCAAGTTTGAAGTTCCTCCTAGAGCTGTTGCTGTGGCTTAGAATGAATTGGGTTGTGTATAACCCATGTAATGACAATAACAACACCGCGGCGGTGGAACAGGAATACACATTTGCAAACTTTCCTTTCATATATAGAGCAGCAGTTTAATGAGCTCCGGATCGACATCCACGATCAACCGGACGTAACATGTCGTCATCCCTCCACAGCTCGCTGCTGTCATGTCATGTGAAAATGTGTTTGCCTCGCTTCCGCATATAACCGTAAAAATTTGTGCAAAGAAATAGTATTGTGATTGATCAAAGACACGATCATGCGCTTATTGTGAATAATAAAGGTAAAACCCGAGCCGCCGCAACCAGTCGAGAACAAGTCCAAGTCCAAGTCCGCACTAGAGATTAGCTTGCTGAACTGGCATTATCTCCTCTTGAGCCAAATGCCCGAAATCCGAGTTGCGAGGTCTGAATGCTCCGTCTGGAATGCATTCTTCAAAAACCACTCCTTGCTCATATAATTCCGAATGCTGCAAGGCGAGTTCAGCTGTGCAAACCAACAATTCAAAAAGTAACGACTCACCCATCCGGAAGGAGAACAACAACATTCAATCCCTCTGTCCCAGCAACCTTTTGCCCCTGTTCCGTCTGAAGCCAAGCCAAAGCACCACAAAGGGCACTTCCGCTGCTCCCACCAACAAGCAAGCCCTCTTTCCTCATAAGAGCCTGCACAGCCTTGAACGCATCCTCATCACACGTCTTCACCCAATGATTCACATCCGCCTCATCCCGAGAAAGAACATCAGGAATGAAATCATACCCTATACCCTCCACGACGTATGGGCTGCCTACCCCGCTGATGTTCAGACTGTTCGGCACCGCAAGGATGCTACCGATCTCGAGGGAAAATGAGTGAGAGCTAAACGGAGATGGCTATGCGTAGCTTACTGGGTCGATACCGACTACGATGCAGTCTGCATTATGCGTCTTCTTGAGTGCGCGTGAGACGCCTGTGATGGTGCCGCCTGTACCAGCACCAGCGACGAATGCGTCAACTTTCATCGAGGAGGGTCTTGTACGCGTGGATGGGGTTGAGACGACCGAGGCGATGATCTCAGGTCCGGTAGTATACTCATGAGCGAGCGGGTTGTTTCACCTGTGTACACCCAATCAGCAAAAGAAAAAAACAACTGTTCCTTCAAAGAACCTACATTCCGATACTGATCCAATATAATCCCATGCTCAATCTCTCGCTGAAGCCTGCACGCAACACCTACGATCGTTAAGGAATTCAGCCACGAGGGGTTGAAACATGCCAGTAGAATGCTCTACCTATATGGCTCCTGGGCGAATCCCAAGGCTCTTCATCAGGCGTACGAACAACCTGTGCGCCAAGCGCCCTCAAGAGCGCCTCTTTCTCCTAAAAAAACCCTTTTCATCAGCGAACAGCATGTGATCAAACGCAGTTCTCACAAGCGACATTTTCTTAGGCATAGTAATCACGACCGAGTATCCCTTATCTGTAGTATTCAGTAACCATCCAGGCACCTGGGCGTAACGTGTTTACCTTGATCGCGCACGCCATCGCGAGTCCAATTCCTTCATATCATATCATATCATGTTAAAATCGCTCGAGATCCGTAGGGACTCGGGAAGACACTTACCGGTATTCCCAGACGTCGGCTCGATAACGACGCTCTTCCCCGGAATAAGTTTACCCTCTTTTTCGGCGGCTAGTACCATCGCTTTTGCGATCCTGTCCTTGATGGAACCACCGGCAGAGACAAACTCCAGTTTACCCACTGGGTTGAAATGGGCGTTAGTTTTGATATTGGGCTCCACAGTAATATCACGTACGGAGATTACACTTGAGGCCTTGTTCAGCGGCGATCTTGTCGAGCCGGATGAGGGGCGTGTTGCCTACTGCGTCGAGCGCGTTGTCTAGTATACGTCTTGGAGTGAATTCCATGATAGTAGTACTAGGTGGTGGACCTGGTGGTGGTTGTGGTGAAAAAAATAAATAAAAGATGGGCTGATCGGCCACAGCTAAATGCATGACGACGCTCATATCGTTCCATATATCGGAATCCGAATCGGTTCGGATCTATTGACCATTCCGGAATCGGAATTTGTAGCAAAATACATAAAACAGTATACATACATACTTGCGTTAATCTACTCCACCCGACTTATAGATCATCCTGTACACAGGATAACGATTCCGCACAGGAAGACGCTCAAAATTCAAATATACGACTTCCTCGTCCTATTCTTCAGACGGTCTTCATCCAAGGGCCATCTCCTCTCAATCCATGTCGCCAACTCTGTATGCTCTCTGTATAAATCATTTATATTCGGGTGGACGAGGACGCTTTGAAACGTGTGTTAGCAAGTTTCAAAAACATCGAGGTACTATTATAGATGTTTGATGTGATACGTACTCGCAAGGCCCCCGATGGATGACCGTGACAAGCCAGGAAAAGAACGCTCCGGTCTGGTGCGGCGTGAATGTATTTACCTCGAACATAGCGGTAGGGTGGGGCCCAGACTGGGATGGAAAAGGGTGAGTACCGCGCTGCGGTGCTGCTAATTTTATGGGATAAGTGGATGCGCACCGACTGCTTCATCGAAGAACTGGTAGATACGCAACTACCTCACGGAGAAAATTAATGAATGAACAACTACTGTCAACGCCAGAGAGAGAAAGACCCTACCTCCGGAAACTCCCTCCTTATACGTTCATATAGTTCTCTCGCATACTACGCCTGAGCAGGTACAGAGGGCACGTGGAAAACTGGTATTCGATTGTGAAATTGAGGCTTCAATCACATGGGGCACACTCACTGTGGAAGTCGAAGCCATTCCGAGTCGGATCAATTTCTTTCAGGAATTCCTTGTAGGCGGCCGAGTCGGACCGGGTGGGTTGTATAGGGATTTTCCGTCGGGTTGAGAGTGGTTGGAAGTGGTTCTGGACCTTCATACCCTTCTGGAAGAGATGGCCATTGGCTCATTGTTTGTCGTGGGATACTAGTCTTACGAATGAAGAGGTTCGGACTGGGAACGGGAGAGAGACTGAGTCTTGGATTAAAAGACTGAGCTATAGATGATACCTAGGAGCGGGAAAGGGATTAGGTAGGGTGAAAGTGTACGTAGAAGAGCTCACCTCAGTCTTGGATCAAATGACTGAGGGAGATCCTTGATACTCGGAGGGGGGGGATTAACACGCTGATTGAGACGCAGAACCAAAGGTGGGTGCGCACATAACGAGGAGTGAGGGTGATGTCCGGTGTCGAAAGTCATATCTTACAGTCAAGTTTAAACCTTGATACATAGCCACTTGAACTTAACTTATCAGCAGACCGTTCTGAGTCCCTCGATAGGGGCATCAGAAATCAATAGAACTTGAATCATTTTCAAATGCTGTAGAAGGACTCCAAACCAGTCGCCGGCGTATCGTGTCTTTATTGAGAATAGCTACAGACTTAACGTGGACCCCATTACAGCTTTCCCGCGCGCCTGCGGCGTGCTGCACGACCATGGTGGTAGTAATGATTCATGAATATTGAGCACGTGACATTTCGTCCCCAGCGCATTCTGAAGCTCCTTTTGCTTGACAATATGATTACGTCGCGCCTCAGTCTGGATTTTCTTAGCTTACCTGTGTACTCCATCCTTTGCCCTATATCGGAGGGAAATTTGTAGGCAAGATCACCGTATACAACCACTCAGAGATGGGCGAGTGTCGACTACGTTCTCTTTTGCGACTGTTCTAGAGGGTGCAGTTCCACGAAATCTGGAGGCCTTCAATGGGACAACTAGATGAATGTGAGTCGACCATCGCTATTTATCACTCCTGAACTATACGAGCTGCACCGCCCAGCACTAAACCCTGTTCCCAATGACTCTTGGTCAAATCCTACGCGAGTACGCGATCACTGAGCTGCACCCGACTCTCGGCGCTGGAAAATGGAATTATGACAACTGGGCGCATCCTCATGAAGCTGGGGTTGGCTCTGGAGCTGAGCGCTGATCTATGGGCTTGGATGCGCGCTAGTGAGGTAACGACGTGTGTATGCTCAACGAATGGCTGTGATCATTCTGTCAGTGGATGAACGATGGTCTGGTCTTCGAAATGACTTTCAGGGCTCCTTTGCGCTTCTCTTGGGTCGCTGGATTACAGACGAACATTGTCACCCTGTTTACCCCTACTTTTTCCCCACATGAACTTCGGCACGCCTCACTTCCTTCAGAGAATGTTTACACAGTGAATATAAAGCCCTTATTGAAGCTACTTCCGTGCAAGAGCCATGCAGGGCTTGCTGCACTTCTCAATCCTCAGAAGGTGTTTGATGCGGACTGGCATGACATGGGGATATAGGAAGGAAGACACTGGTGTGGACTTAAAACTGACCTTACAAGCAGTATTCAATCCAGTGCGAACCAGCGCAGGGAAGCGGCGAGGTGAGCCAGTAATCGATTTATGATATAACCCTCGCTGACAATGTTGACAGACTAGAATCTTCAACCACTGTTTGATCGCTCCATTGAACGATCATGCCCGGTAGCGAGCTCCAGTTCTATCACTATTATTCTACCGGAAGAGAAGGACCACTAAATCACCCCTGAAAATCCCACTCATGTCGATAGTTTAGCCATTTATGACTTATCCTGTGCGTTATTTTCCCTGCAATAATTTTGAACCATTAACGTGTCAAAGCATCCAACTTTGCCATGTACTGGGCGAGTGAGCGTTGCTTCCAGTATCGCAAGGCCCTTTCCACCCGTACAACTGGCTCACTGATAATTCATCAACGCAGTACTGCCACCATCAACACCGCTCATCCCGCTCAGCGTGAAACGAACAATTCATGGTGCAACGCAAACACGAGGCGTTCTACCTGTGTCTGCGACCAATGCTTCTCCTCAGAAGATATCGGCAGGTTATCTGGAGATGATGCCTGCATTCGTCACGTTGTAGATGCACACCCTGAAAGTCGAAATCAACTCACAGATATGACTTACGGCCATACGAAGTTTGTCTTTGCTGATTATCTTGTGTATTTAGGCGACTTACTTTCAGGACTAAAAAATATCATCCACCTTCGCCGCAATCTAATGACCGCCTCTCTCCCTCGATGTTGCAAGCTGTCCTCACAATTCCACTCAAGACAACGCTCAAATGGAGGTTAACAAAGTTTTTCTAAAATACACCGAACATCCACGAGAGGCTGGGATCTACCAGGGATGTTTTTCCCCCTCCCTCAAGCGTCTCACGAAACCTCTTCGAGTTATGATTGGGAGAGGATTTATACCCCGATGCTCTTTGTCGACCTCCCCACCCCAGATCTCAGCATGCCCTATAACGTCATTGTCCCCAGTTGTACGCTCATGAGATTGATTTTCGGGAGCATCTTCAATTTACTGACACGCAAGTGGGTCGTGGTAAAGACTCAAGGATAGCCGAGGCCAATGTAATCCCATTATACTAATTTAGTGTTCATGCAATCTGCTGTCCTTTTCTGGGTGACTCGATGACTCGATCCACACACACGCCTGTCGATGGAATTGATCCACATATATGCTCCGGCGGCATCTGCCCAGGTGCCTGCAGTTCTCGACTGGCCATAATATGTCCCACCGCCAGGGTTTTTTGTCATCCGTCGGAAGGGAGTGGTCTGAGCCTCGCGACGGTGTGCCCGCGGTAATAATAATAGTTTATTCCGAAAATCACTGGGTTTGAAATTGGCTGAGCATCCTGCGTATATGATAGAGCTGCTGGTAAGCGGAGCATTGCGTCGCGTGCTCACGACGTCTTCATTTTCAACGCCCCCGCAAGCATGATTGTCACGGGTTTGTCGTTGGGGACCCTTTCAATATTGGTGGGTTCTGTGGCTGCACTGCGCGCATTGCAGCTCTTCCTGGATTTCCGTCGACTATTGGCAAGCATCCAGTGAGTTGACCAACCTTATCGAATTACTTACATGGAACTAATTATACTGCATAGTCATCTTCCAGGATACAGAACAATTCTTAGTAATTCAACTGTGCTCGGAAATCTGTTTCCCCCGACCCCCTTGTTGACCTTAGGTCATGATCATTCTTGGTTCTCAAAGCATAGCCGTACGTCGAACATTTTCACGTCAGTTCATTCCCCCTAGTTAACGTAAATTTTGGAAGCCTTTGCGGAGAGAGGCCTCGATATAGTTTCTACTGTAAGTTGCTTGCAACATTTTGGTGTATCAGAGACCAATGGTTTCAGGCGGCGTGCTGGCCGAAAGCAAGGGGTTCGCTGTTGATAGCAGACGCCAATGTGACTAAGGTATGTCCGTCTATTTCGACCTTGAAAGCCTGATAAATTGATTATTCATTTCAAAGGACATTGTTTGGTCTCGTGGAGGACGCTTCCCGAAACCTCTTGGCCAATACGCCATATTGAACTTTTTCGGCGAAAATATTGTTGCTTCCGAAGGCAACGAATGGAAGCGTTACCGCAAGATCGTCGCACCTGCGTTTTCAGAGGTTAGTAACTGATGTCCGTGCGCACAACAGAGCTTCCTAACTTATAACTTGAAGAGGAACAATAGATTGGTTTGGGATGTAACGATACAGATCATGCTCGACCTTTTTGATACAATGTGGGCTGATCAAGAAGAAGTGGTTGTCAATCACTCCGTGGATTTGACTTTGCCAGTGAGAGTCCTTGATGCCACCTTTGTGCTCCTTTGATTCCATTCGGATCACTAGATTGCCCTGTTCGTGATCGGAGCTGCAGGTAAGCATGATCGGCATTATCAATAAGTAGCTGTCGATATAGTGAATTCATTCCAGGCTTTGGTCGTCCTATATCCTGGAAAGAGGACGCTGTGGTCCCACTCGGACACCAGCTGACTTTCAAAGATGCTCTCCACACAGTGACACAGGACCTCACCATTAAATTATTAGTACCGAGATGGGCCATGGGATTCACTAAACGTTTTAGGCATGCAAGGCTTGCCTTCGATGAATTGCATGTCTGTACCATAATTGTGGCTGACTACTTGACATGTTTAATGACCCTCTTTTGTAGCAATACCTTACAGAGATGATTCACGAACGGCAGGGATCCCAGCACGAAGAAAATAGCAACGACCTATTATCTAGTTTATTGTCAGCAAATGACGATAATGATTTGTTGAAGGATGAAGTAAAGCTAAGCGACAGCGAATTAATTGGTAAGCTACAATTTCAGATTCTGTAGCAGAACATGGCGACATTGTCCAACAGGTAATATCTTCATATTTTTGGTCGCGGGACACGAGGGTACTACATCCCTTCCACACTTTTACCTCACGCTGACAACTCCTCACAGACGACAGCCCATACATTGTCTTTTGCGTTCGCACTATTGGCGTTACATCCCGATAAGCAAGAAGAAATGTACCAACACATCAAGCGCGTACTGCCTGATGGAAGAATTCCTGTATGAACCCCTGAATTACAGACAGCTATATGGTCAGGCTCACGATGTTTTTGACAGACTTATGATGATATGCCATCATTGGCCTACTCTTCTGCGTCAGTTTGCCTCTAAATCGACCGGATTATGGGCTGACATCGTGGCAGCGTGTTCAACGAAACACTGCGGATGTTCCCCCCTGTATGTTGGTGGAGCAAACATCTCTGAGCGATTTTGTTAACTTCAGGTGCAGGTTTGCACTGTGCCAAAGACAAGTGCCGAAGACACGACCTTCACTCTCACAGATGAGAACGGGACGCTGAAAACAGTCGTTGTGCCTAAGGGATTGGGTCTTACACTGGACGTGCCTGGACTTCACTACAATCGTAAGATACTTGCCAGACGCAAAGAGATGCAATAACGACCTGGCGCATGATTGCAGCTAAGTATTGGGAAGATCCATCCGCGTTTAAACCCGAACGATTCTTGGGTGACTGGAACCGAGATGCATTCCTCCCTTTCAGTAGTGGTAAGTGTCTTAACATCTTGCTCAGAACGAACTTGAAGACGCCCATACCAATTAAGGTTATAGAGGTTGTGTAGGAAGAAAGTGAGTATATTGTCATTATTCTTGGTCATCCATTTGAATTTGCTCAGGTTCTCGGAAACCGAGGGAGCAGCTGTTCTCACCATTTTGATTTCGCAATATGTCATTTCGATCAAGGATGAGCCACAATTTGCTGGCGAAACGTATGAGCAGCGCAAGGCGAGAGTACTTGACGCAAAAAGCATACTTACTCTGGCGTACGTTGAACTTCCTGCTCCTGTAAGATGAAATATTCATGGCTGTTTAGACCAACCCGCCTTCCCCTGGTGTTCAGACGGAGGACTTAAAGAGAAGACTTGGGAATAATAGTATACACCAAGTTGGACATGCACGCAAGTATAATATACACTTGGCTTGGCTTTCACTCTATAAGTATCTTGTGACTACATTAGATGTTTAGTTTGACATCTCCAAGATGATTCCTGCTGAAACATGTAAGCTGCCTTCATTGACGAGGCAACATCACTACCTGGACGTCCACATTGTCATGACACTGTACAGCAAAATCCTTTATCTATTATTTGACCACAGATTCCATTCCCAACAGTCGGTAAATAATCGCTTGCAATACGAGCCAGCGTCGGATACTGTAGCAAGTGTAGTTGATAATAATGTGAGTTGAGAATGCAGTATCTCTTCAACTACAATGTAGTACGAGTAGGCCTAAGACACTCCTCATACAATGGCCATCTCTTTCCAATCCACGTCGCCAACTCTGTGTGATCTCTGAATGCGTCGCCAGTGTTCGGGTGGACAAGGACGCTTTGAAACGCGCAGCTGGATTAACGAGCTAACGTGAAACACTATACATATGACACTTACTCGCAAGGGCCCCGATGGACGACAAGCCAGGAAAATAATGCTCCAGTCTGGTGGGGGCTAAATGTATTTACCTCGAACATGGCGGTAGGATGGGGACCTTAAAAGAATAAGGTAAGGGTGAGTACCACGCAGTGCTGCATCGATGGGATAAGCGGATGCACACCGACTGGTTTATCCCAGAACCTATATATCCGCAACTACATCGCGAGGTATGAATAATCGGCTATTGGATGATGCAGGAGAAAGAGCTTACCTCTGGAAACTCCCTCCTTACACGCTCGTGTAGTTCTTTCGCATACTGCGCCTGAGCAGCCACGGCGGGCATGTAATAAACTAGCATCCGTTGTGAAATCGGGGCAACATTAAGTCATGTGTGATAGGCTCGCTCACTGTGGAAGTCGAAACCATTCTTAGACGGATTAAATTGTTTCGGGAATTCATCGTAGGCGGCCGAGCGCGGACCAGGTGGGTTGTACAGAGATTTTCCATCGGGATTGATAGTAGTTGGAAGAGGCTCTGCACCTTCATACCCTGCTAGAAGAGATGGCCACTGACTCATGTTGACTGTAGGATAGGGGGTGTTGGTTTCTGTGAGGTCGGTTTACTGTTACGAGGAACGGACACTAACGACAAAGTCGACTCGGGGAGACCTTATAGGATTAAGGAGTAAACAGATAATTTCCGGTACGGACGGATGGATAGTCAGCACTAGTCAGCGCTAGTCAGCTTTGGAAGGCACTATGTCCTGGAGGATTAGTAAGGCATTCCAAAAATATGATACACATTTGTCTGAGGTGCCTCATATACATAGACGGGCTGGTCACCAGTCTAGTCTGAGGCGGCGCAAGGAAGTTCGTGAACATGCGGCACTTGTATACATCGAAGATGTATTGCAAATGGTCGGTTCTAAAGAACTGATTTAGATCTCCACAGTGCTGGTTGATCAGTCGACCATGATACACCGGGATATATCTCACATGATATAACCCCAGGGTATAACCACAGATGGCAAATTGGAGAGGTTGAACTCGAGCGCATTAGACCTTGGTACGCTGCATGTAAACTTGGGCAAGTATTCGAGGGTGGAGAATGCGAGTGGGAAAAAGTTTCGTGTGTACGGACATTGCCGCAAGCGCTGTGCAGCTCCGGGCCCGGAGTTGCTCTTACGCCGTGCTCGCGTCCTCACAGTTGAACCGTGATGTTGAAGCTGAAACGCACCCTCTAGCTCACTTGCAAGCTGCATCCCCGCTCACATAGTCGGACACACCGAATGCATATGTGCTGCCAGATCTGTGGGGACGGAATTCATCGCTGAACAAGCTACCGGCTCAAGCGTGCGCAGCGCCGAAAGATGAGATGAATACGAAGCAGAGATAGTAAGCCTGGAAGTGTGCGAAGGCTGTGAGGAGGGCTGCCTCGGAATCAAGGTCGGTGCCCGGGGAAAGGTGTGCCATGGCCCATGACCGTCCGAGTCTAAATTGTACTATCAAGTTTCAACGACCTCGCACAGAAACTATTCACGCAACAGCAAATATTTTTCCTCCATCATCCATATACATATCTGCGACACCTTCGGCTGTTAGTGCTTGACATAGGTTTCGACCAGGAAGATATTCGATACCCTAGACGACAAGTCTACAACGCTCGTTAATGCGTATAGCCTTTGGATGCACGATCATGGTGACACCCCACCTCTCTGCCGATCCTATGCCCAACCAAACACTAAACATGTATCTGGACAGTATCCAATGACTACCGCAACAAAGCATATGCCAAAGTAGCTGTCATTTGCACTGCAATCGAACAAGGTGCGATGGAGTTCATCCGGTTTCGAGGTGAGGCCTCCTCCTCCCGGCTACACCACCCCATATTCTCTGTAGACCTTCGACTCTGAATCGTCTCAGAAATATAACGGGAAACGAAAGGTGGTCGAGGATGCGCACTCGCAGGGTAAACATAAAAAAGCCTACAAAACGACAGACGAAAGCAAAGCTTGAGGGCGCTGGCCCACCAACAACTAAACACGGTAACAAGAAAGAGAAAGGCAGCACCCACACCCATCGTCATGGCATCCCCGAGTCTGGCATCGTCCATGCAGGGCAAAATGGTACGTTTCAGTACTATATCAACCAGGACTTGGGGATAAGAGTGGTTCGGGGACTGCGCACCCTCTGTCGCAGGTATCCTTGGATCCTATCAGCGGTTTATGCCTCGCGCGTATTCTTCCGTGCAAGAGGGGCATAAGTATCCGCTTACGGCGCAGTCTTTCGCTAGAGCCTTGGGCTTGGGTACTGGTTCTAGCCCAGGTGGTGAATTTATGGAGGTCTGCTAGCAAACATTCTGATTTGACATCGCTCTCGAACATGATGAGACTCTGTTCATGTAAGATTGAACGAGGCACCATAGTTTGGTCATCCTGCCTTTGGCGTACCCAGGGTGAAGTTGTAATCGGACAATCTCCTGATTGCTTGAGCCATGAATTACGGTAGAAAGCTGCCTGCTCCCATTCTCAGTGGTCATCGTCATTGGTCAACATAGAAATCGGAGAGTCTGCACCACAATCTGGCCATGCCTACAACGTCCCACCATTGTCGGGATACTCTGGCCAACAGTATAGACTCGGGAATACGGTTCTGATCTGCGGCTTAAATGACCGTCTAGGACCCCCGGATGAACATTCAAGCCGCAGATCAGAGATTGTAGTCAAAAACTTAAAAGTTCGAATAAAGATTTCGGCTGGCAAGTACAAGACAGCCGGTGCTAGTCCCTTCGGTGGGTTCGTCGACTCAATAATTCCGTCCTCCTTTTCCACGAGCTGCTGGCCAAAATGTTCCCTATCCATGACGGTATTCGTGAGGTCTGGAATCTGAACATTGTCAACGTGGCATCACCTCACACATCTGAATAGAGACAAACTGGTGTGACCACTCGTGAATGCATCAGCTAAAACGGAAGACAAGCCGCGATATATCTTTAGTATACTACATGAATGAATGATGCCAAGTTTCTGTAAGACTGATAACAAAAAGGAAAGAGGATCTTCGTACTCAAGGAGGACACTCCGAATCCAAATATCTCTTCAACTCGAACGAGTCTTCAAGACATTCCTCATACAACGGCCACCTCCTTCCGATCCACGTTGCCAACTCCGTGTGATCTCTGAGTACATCGCCAGTGTTCGGGTGGACGAGGATGCTGAAACGTGTAGGTTAACAAGCTAACGTGAAATACTATGAATATGACACGTACTCGCAAGGCCCCCGATGGACAACAATCCAGGAAAAGAATGCTCCGGTCTGGTGGGGGTTGAATGTATCTACCTCGAATGCGGCGGTAGGGTGGGGACCTTCGAAAATAAGAGTGAGTACCATGTCGTACTGCAACTATGGGATAAGCGGATGCGTACCGTGTTGTTTATCCCAGAATTTATGTATACGTAACTATGTCGTGAGGAATGAACAATCGGCCATTGGATGATGCAAGAGAAAGAGCTTACCTCTGGAAACTCTCTCCTTATACGCTCGTACAGTTCTTTCGCATACTGCGCCTGAGCAGCCACAGCGGGCATGTAGTAAACTAGTATCCATGGTTAAATCGAAGCACCAATAACATGTAATAAACTCGCTCACTGTGGAAGTCGAAACCATTCTTAGACGGATCGAATTGTTTCGGGAATTCGTCGTAGGCAGCCGAGCGGGGACCAGGTGGGTTGTACAGAGATTTTCCATCGGGATTGAAGGTGGTTGGAAGAGGTTCTGCACCTTCATAACCTGCTAGAAGAGACGGCCACTGATTCATGTTTACTGTAAGGCGGTGGTTGTTGGTGTCGTTACGAGGACGATAACGACAAGAATAGAGTCGACTCGGGGAGACCTTATATTGGAACAAACGATATTCCGATACGGACAATTGGAGTATGTCTGTGCAATGATTAGTTAAGTTAGTGAGGCATTTGACCAATTTCAATATTGATTGATTTGCTGATCGAGTCAGATGATCGAGTCAGCTGCAGCAAGGCGCACTAGGAAAATGCTGCACCACTAGTAATTAGTAGTGCTGCGACTGCTGCGATATTAATTTCCGTGATGTTCGAATTAAAATGTTTATAAAGTCTTGCAAAGCCCTCAGCTGAGGCGCAACAAAGCATCTTCTTGCTAATCATCACGTGACATATCATATTATGTTGTGAAAAGCTACCACTGAAGTATACATTGCACGTATGCGAGTCTGCTATATGATGCGAGAAATAATCACTGAAGGATGCATTACTACTATGAGGGCCCAAGCCTGACATTTTCCAGCAATCAAGAATTATCCCAGCACCGATCACAGCACGACGCAACATCAAATTGTCGTCCAGATACAGTGAAAGAAGGCGCTGTGATCGGTGCTACGACGAGTCTCGTGCTCGCAGTACTATTTTTGACCAATTTTGTCTAACAAATCAGGCGCCAATATTCTGTCTGATGGGTGCTTATCTCTTTGATTTTCGTTCTTTCGAACTCTCGTGCGTAGATGAGTGCATTGACGTGTGGATGCATTCCCAATCGCCGACTCTGTGGCTTGAGCAACTTGCGCAGTCCCGCGTCATTCAGCACTTTCTATGTGCTCAATATCATGGATTTACACTACAGGATGACCCTATTTTTGTCAGTCTACGTCTTCCAATCTTCCGTGTGCGAGGTTGGCAAGAAGAACAACAGGGCAATCCGACACATATATCTAAGGACAGAACGTTTGATCCCGCGGAAGCATTTCACGTCTACCCCCACGTGGGTGCTCCACCTGAGCTCCACATGCGCTCAAGCGCTCACAATCTGTGCGCGCTCGGCAGTCTCCTACTTGCGTACGTTGTTCCCTCATCTCTGCGTCTCTGCTCCACCTTTTGCAATTGTGCTCCACCTTTTCCAATGTGTCTTCTGAGCTCCAATGATATTGACCTGTGTTCTGTCAGTGTTTCGTGTCGCCAAGAGCTTGCATCCCTTCATTTATGCGCGATGCCCAAGGCACTGAAGACCGCACTGTGGCTATGCATTCATAGTTCTGTGTCTCCTATTTACATTTCAAGTCAGCACTGCGTCACGTCATACAGTATCAGACATAACACTGTGAGCATGACGCAGAGCATTCGAACAGATTACTCACAGACCGTGTCAGCGTTTTAACAGCAAAACTGTGCGTGCGCATAGCATAACACAATAGCCCGTGCTGTGATTGACGAAGTGGAAGATTCTCGAACGGCCGAGTTTAATTTTAATCTAGTGGCACTCAACGAACCGAGTTCCATGGACTGCCAGTCGACGGCGCGCGCAGGTGATATAAGAGAAGCGCCTAAGTGATTCAGCTTCTCTTACATTGCCCCTGAGCGCCTTCGCCGTCAATCTCGAATGATTCAGCTATGGGCGGTGGCATTTACCGCCTCGCACTGGCCCAGCCTGGCTTAGCCTCTTTGACTTGCTTCCCCTGATCTGAGCGATTGCGTCTCCGGTCATTGTTATCGAGCGAGTCCTTACCAAGGTGCTGTAGAAGACCTACGGAAACCTATGCTTTGGGGAGTTTCGGTTACGGCTCTTTCCGACAGATTGACGCCGTTACGAACCTATAAAGTATATCGCAGCATGGATTTTGATTATACAACAGTCTTCGTTATGAGCACCAATCCAAATCGTTGGCTAACCAACGGACCAGTACCAAAGACAATACAACCAGCACTATCAGCCAACACGACGGCACAGGTTCAATTGTATGTGCCCTTCTGCATCACTCACCTATGTGATCTTGACATGTTCTCTACGGACCCGCTCAGTACTAGACCTAATCGCCTTAGCCCCATCCTTCAAGTTGGATCAGGCATGCGCTACGATATCGCGCAAAAAGGGATCGCGTCATCTACCTGGGAACAAATCAGCCGCGTTCCAGCGTTAGAGGTGCCCACGTTCAAGATTCTCATCATCTCGAAGGCATTCCCTTGGTCAATTGTGATCCGTGCACCTGCTGGGTCTGTGATCACATGCGGCACGATCTTTGAGGAATTGCATAAACAGCTACAAAGGCACATCGAAGACGCGGAGTGGGCAATCGTGGCTGTTGATAAGACACGGAAGGAAGCAATCGAGAAAGCTGCAAAGTCGAGGCAAGAGAAGGACAAGATCAATCGACTGAAGAGAATTGATTGGCTGGGGGATACTTCAATGTTTGAGGGGCTGGAGAAGGACAAGGAATTTGAGAAAAAGAGACATTTACCCGGAAGTGAGAGCGTCGCGGAGACATGGGTAGTAAGATTTGGGAAACGGTGATTGTAACATATATGTGATGTATCATCGATAGTATCATGGAGTTTTACCTTATACTAGTACAAATTAATGTTAACGTTAACGTTGATCATGAATTCATGATGATTACCTTGTTTACGACACTCCGACTTAACATCGACTTCAATAGCCTAGCTCCCGCGACGATTTTCCAACCAAGTATACTATGACCAACACAAAAGAGAGAGCGTCAACCGGTCCCCGTGATATTTGGGAAGCCTGCCTATCACTCAGGCCTCAGGCTCGGCTGCCTCTAACAGGCTAGAAAAAGGGGGTGATTGAAACGAGGTATAAGTGTTTGGGTCCGGTTGTTGTACGACGATGGAGTCATTGCGCAGTCGAATCATATAAAGGTGAGAGTCCAGACATCCATGGATCAACGTAGAGCTCATGGCCCTCTCTTGCACAGCTTGGGGTCGCTATCGGCTTCCACCCTAAAACTATTTGCTTCAATAAAGAAAAATGCTAACACAAATCACTCACCCGGAGTCATCCCAGAGATTCTCCAGAGGTATTCAGAAATCAGTCTATGATACATCTTGTAGCTAATACCACTTCGGTTACTGTCCTCCAAATCTGTCTGTAAGCAACATTCAACGCGAGATAGCGACAACACATACACCCTGATTGACCAACGCGTTGGCTATAAATGCAGCGCCGCTGGCTGGCTGAACTTTTGTGATTACTATTATCCCCCTAATACCGTGCACTCAATATGTACCCGCGTGTATAGATTCCCAACCAGCAGCATGTGTCTCCACACCAGGTGCATCACCCTCCCTTGCTGCACCAGCACTGACCACGCAGAGCTCTGTTCTGACTGCAAAGCCGCATGAATGACCCTTCGAAGCAAAGTGGCAGAAGCGCAGACGTGATCCATACGCATATTGACCTGGAATGTCTGTTCGCCTTCGAGCAGCGCTTATTCGGGAAGTCAGCTCGGTCAGGCTCTGAAGAAACTATGAGTGGGTTCCGGATGCTGAGACCCACATACTGGGCTTCCATCCCACTGGACCTATGAGGACCGGGATGAAGGAGATCTCGATGATGATGGAAATGAGTTTGAGATGCTATGCTTTCAGCCTTTCGAAACGGCCCCTAGTAGTTATTACAATCACCGTCGTGGGCCAGATTTCAATTTCAGCGACAACAACAATGTGGCTAGCACCAGCGAGCAACACGCGGAAGCGACAGCAAACAAAATCCCATGGAAGACCTGGAAAGTGGCACTGACCGCATCTTGAGATGATGCCCACGACTGCGCAGTCACTCGCTTGGAAGAAACATTGTAAGCGGAATCAGACTGCAATGTAATATGATAGATCGCTGGCGACAAGGAAGACAGTCATTGAAACAAAATATGGGAGACCTGACTGGTAGGAGTACTTGTATGGATCTTGATGATACCTTCTGACTTTGGTGACTCGTGAGCGTGGATGTAAATAACCAGCACCATGCAGCTTGACGAGTAAAGGAGCTCAAGTCTGAGAGTAAGAGAATATAATGCCATTAAATAATATTGGGAAGAGTTCCACCGCAAGGTGTGTGTTGGAGGAATGAGTCGGCGAAGAAGCGGTTGACAACTCGAGAGAACCCATTCAAAGACCTCAAATTCAAACTTTAAATATGCACAGAAACTATTCGCACAGCAGCAAATATTTTTCACCAGATATACAGAGGGCTCATACAAAGGCACCATGTGTCCAGAGATGAATATTAAGAGACGAAGCTGCAATTCCTTGTGTTTTCCTGCTGGTTAACGATCATTCATCATATACATATCTACGACACCTTCGGCCGCCAGTGCTTGACCTAGTTTTCAACCAGGCATATTCGACGAAGCTGAGCACAGGTATAACGTGCTACAGTAAACTTCAGCTGGAATAATACCCTTGACGACAATTGCGCTCATGCTATCACTAACTCACAAAGCAGCCAATATCAGCATCTTCGACCAAGTATCCAGAAATCTAGCTAGCATAGGTTGCATACCCTTGTCAGACTACTTATACGGTTCCCCATCCATCCCAGTAACTGCGGCACCACCACCACCACCACCACCGGAAACCCAGTCTACTCTCAAAAATGCTCCCATTCAACACCCGCAGCCCCCCACGCCAGCCATAACCAAGACCTCAGTTGACACCGTCTCATCAAATGCTATCAGCCGTTTACATCAAACATCTCAACGCATATTTGGATCCATCGAGCCACTCAAGTTTGAATTCATTGAGGAAGCTGGCCAGCGCAGTGCGTATCCAGTCTCACGTCAATTCATCATCCCTCATAATAATTCCACAGGCAAGAAATGCATATTAACAATATCTCGTCCCAATGGAAGTACTCGTTCTTATGCAACCGACCCCGTCTACTCTCGCAAATCCGATGCAAAATCTGCTGCAGCCACTCTCGCGATCGAAATGGGAGCACTGGATTTCATCACTCATGGAGATCCTGAAGAGCTCAAACTTAAACGCGGACTCGTCCTTGCTTCCATCAATAGCTCACAAAATCAGGAGCGTATACGGGCAGAGATCGGATCAACTGAGCATCCAGACAGCAATAATGCGATTGAGCAAATCGAGACCTGCTGCGCAGAATGGCGGGGCAGTTCCATCGCACCGCATTGGGTTGCATTGCTAGAGCCCAAAGTCGGTCACAGTAAGTATCAAATCTTGGATGTCCGGATCCTGTTGAACTAAGGGCCTTGCAGCTCAAGGATGTGCCCTCAGAATCGAGCTTTCACCACACGTAATCAAGGTTTACGCATCCGATACCATCTACAACACATACAATGAAGCAAAGGCCGCGTGTGCTGAAGCCGCACTTCGCGAGGGCGTTCTCGACTTTATCAAACACGGAAACGGCCAACTACGCCCTGCGTCCCCCCAACTATACTCAACCCCCAGTTCCTCCGACATCAATGGCGTCTCAGCCAACAAACAACCTCCATCAACTCTCCAGGCATTCTACGAATCCCTCCCCCGCCCATTTCCCGAATCGTTCGAAAGCAAAGACGCCAACGAGTTAGGTGCGCCTGGATACATGAACACCCTCGTACAAAATGCAAGAGGCGGAAAGTTGACCACCACATTCATTTTCACATCAGACGGAACTCCAGGACGTACGTAGTCCTCTATCATCATAAAACACTCGCCCTCACGATGATGATTTACTCCATATAGTCCACGGCTGTTTCCTCCGCTTAGACAGACCCACAGAATATAGAGCATACCTCGTCGATCCCAGGTTCCCAAAACGCGCAGATGCAAAGGCGGCCGTATGCCTCCAAGCGCTGTCTCACGGTGCTGGAGATTACATGCGCGCGATTGGAAAGGCTGTCGAGGCGAGAGTCACGCCTTTGATGAAAACATGGGTGAACGATCAAGTATACCCCGTCCTCTTATCCGAGTATAACAAACTCAGGAATCGGCATCCTAATTTCACTTATGAGAAAGAGAAAGATGGTCCGTTTTCGTTTTCTTCTCATCATCATATCGCGTCGCATGCTCATTGCATATAGCCTTTGGATGCACGATGACGCTCCACCTCGCTGCCGATACTACGCCCGACCAAACACGAATTTGGACGGTATCAAATGACTACCGTAACAAAGCAGATGCCAAAGTAGCTGTCATTTGCACTGCAATCGAACAAGGGGCGATGGAGTTCATCCGGTTTCGAGGCGAGCCTCCTCCTCCCGGCTACACCACCCCATATTCTCTGCAAACCTTCGACCCTGAATCATCTCAGAAATCTAATGGGAAGCGAAAAATGGTCGAGGATGCGCACTCGCAGGGTGAACATGAAAAGCCTACAAAACGACAGAAGAAAGCAAAGCTTGAGGGCGCTGCAACCAAACACGGTAACAAGAAAGAGAAAGGCAGCACTCACACCCATGGCATTCCCGAGTCTGGTATCATCCGTGCTGGGCAAACTTCCCGAAAAGGGCACGCTTCAGCACCATATCAGCCAGGACTTGGGGATGAGAGTGGTTCTGGGGCTGCGCACCCTCTACCGCAGGTGTCCTCGAATCCTACTCCACCTGCTATGCCTGATCAGCGGTTTATGCCTCCTCATGCGTATTCTTCTGTGCAAGGTGGGTATAGGTATCCGCTTTCGGCGCAGTCTTTTGCCGGAGCTTCGGGCTCGAGTGCTGGTTTTGGAGGTGGTAGGTTTATGGGTGTGGGTGTGGAGCAGTTAGATGATTCATCTGAGCCAGAGCCTGGAGAGGTTGTTTAAATTCGTTGGATCGAATGGTGTTTGAGGTGCTACTTTTGAATCAAGTTTTCGAATTTGCAATTAGAGCTACGGGCTCAGGTGAATTGCCGCACCGCACGAAAACATACATTCAACACTCATTTTCGATAAGTACTATAGGTTCTCATGCACAAGGATGTTGGCGCTTACTCATACTGTACAGTACCGCACCAGCCACTGATCGTTACGTAACTTACCGATAGTTGTATCTTTGTCGTACACCTTAGTGTTGTTCTCAACACTCGCTGATCAAGGTATGTTTTACATTATTTCGTACTTAGTCCTGTACTCATTTTAGCCTATACTACCCCCTTCACAATGACCTGTCTCTCTTGATAAGCACCCGCCAGCTACAATATATTATATATGGCCCAGATCTCAGATGCGGCAGGGAGCCTTCAAAGGGGCTGGCATGTCCCGTCGTTGAGTTTTCTCCAACGGTATATACGAGCCCCTTTAAAGGTACTACAGTCTTTTGGACCAGTTTGAAAACGGTCAGACTGGTCCAAGAGACCGTAGTACTACTACCGAGTCAGCGACAAGGGCCAGTCAACGAAGTTATCCATGAAGCAGTAAAAAAGCAAAGTGTCAAGGTGTTGTATATGAATGTACTATAGTATTGCTTAATCAAAAATCATATTTTATGAACAACATGGACTCTCGAAAACCTTGCCAGCTACCTTCACACGAGATTCAAGCAGCAGGGCGTCCTGTCTGACCTTGATGAGTCCATCGAGGTGCGCTACTCCTCCATACCTCCGGTCATTCTGATCGATCCGGATTTCTCAGTGCTCTTGCCTTCAGCCTTTATGCCAGGCTCAGCTGCGAGGCATTCGGGTTGCATCTGCAAGTCCCGGTCAACTTAACTCCACAAGGCAACTGTCGGCAAGTCTTTCTATGTTTAGCCGCGCACCATTTTCATTGACAATTTATCCAGGCACATCGGCACCGCACTACGTGGAACGTAATCTGTGTCTGCTAGCTGCCTAGAAACTCACGAGATGTCGAGCCAGTGAGCCCACGTTCGGAAGTTTCTCGGGAATGACTCGTATCGAGCTTGCTTTAGATAAGAGCGATGTATCAGTTCGACCTCTTCGACATTACCTCTTCCTGTTCAATGGGCTCTCTAAAAATGACGTCGTGGAAACCTCATTGTCTTGGAAATTGCAGGATTTAAGGGCCCACGGATTATTCTCGTGTTCGGTTATCGCGATCAACGATCGATATTTGTCAAGAGCAAAATCTATTCAGCCCATGTACCGCATTAAACATGGAGATGAGGACAGGGCGTAACCGACAAGCATGAACCCTACGGGCCTACCGTATCCTTGTCCCTCATAGCAGGTGTTAAACGATGTGTCACAAGGCGTGACAAAATCCGTCTCACAAAGACCTTTGGCGGGTCTTCTTCAAGGTATCAAGTAACAAAGAGTCAAAGACCACCATCGGCGTTTATTGGTGCCACCCCGTTCGGCTATAAATTCAGCTTTGACCAAATGTTCTTGACTACCTGCCATCACCAAGCTCAGCTGTATTACCATCTCGCGTTCCTACTGTGCTTCGTTGCATACTCTTCTGCCGTTCCGTTGCTTTAATATCCCCAGTTGTATCTGCATACCCTCGGCATCACGAATCGTTTTCTCCATTTTCTACCCTTGCGAAAGCCACAGTCAGCTTTCCTTCAGTCCACAAGCCACCTAATCGAACCATATCGCACGTCAACCCTTCACGTGAATAATGAATAGCATCAATTTCTCATCTGGTTTCTTCCTGAATTTCATTGCCGAACCGAATCCGTCCTTCGCGTCTGTGGCCTCGGTAAAATCCGTGTCTCGGCAACGGAAACTATGCTGTGACATCTCGATAAATTCGATGCACAAACAGTCTACCCAGTTGCGCGAATATTACTTTCATGCATTCTTCAACTGTTCTTGGATGTCTCGCCCTCGCCCTCGCGTTATCAACTTTAACCCGGATGCACCTATAGAATGTCAAAAGGCCACGCCTCCTACACCCGCGCCTCCTCGTGTCAGCGCCAAAGTGCCCACCGTGCATGAGACAGATGCTGCTGCTGCGAAATTGGCACCGTCAAAGACTTGTCGCACAAACCTTGGAAAAATATCGCCATAACCGAATACGATGACGCGGAGTTCGAGGAGCTGCAAGCACGGTTGGTATTTACCTGGCCGCCCGATTTAGCAGCCTACCGAAGAGAGGTCGAGGAGGAGAGGAGCTTGAGTAAGGTGACAGAGTATGCTGATGAAAACATTGTCCCTACGGCCTTCTCTCGCGCGTCGTCGATAGGGTCGGCAAGCACAGACGACAGTTCTATGATCTTGACGCCGACTCAACGAGACTACGACGCCAAGACAGATTGTGTACCGCTGGATATTCTCCGCGATGCGCTTGCGGAGCCTGAGGCTAATGCTGGTGCCCTCGAGAAGGTAGTGGGGCTTCAGAGATTGAGACGCAAAGCACCACCTCCACTCAGCCTAAATAACAAGAAAAAACAGGATGTCATCGACAATATCGGATGCACCCTGCTTATTGGCGATGGTGAGCGCACTGCACGGGAGATACGGGTAAGTTTTTCATACCTCTGTGTGAGTTTGATTCTAAAGTATAAGCAGATGCTAAGTCCGCTAACGGCAGCGATGAATATCACCAGCAAGTTATCCGCGGGGATCCTCCGCAATATTCATACCTTTCCTGATGACCTATTATTCTGATAACCTAATTTTCGTCTATTGCTGTAGCATTACCCAAGTTGTTGGCTGGAGTTTCACTGCATCTTCCATGTCCTGTAGCGATATTATTTTATTTTTGGTGTATCAACATGAATCTCTAATCAATACACTCACTGGCAGATTGATAGACGCGAGTCATCGTTGAAACCACGACGGACGTAACTTACCACTCGAAGTTGGACACTGGATGAAATTACGGTTGAAAATCCTTGGGATATTCTTCGAGTGACTGTTGGGCCTGAAGTTGTGACGACCTTGACTTGGAAAAATGAGATCCCAGTAAACCTAAGTGTGAGCTGTTTTGTTAAACATTGATGATATGCGATCTCCTGCAATCCAGGCGTTTCACCGGATACGAAAGATGTCTTTTCATGACGACGGCAAAGGACAGCGACGAAAAACTCTTAGTGAAGTAACTCGGGCTGAAGAAGACATAAGGTATAAATGAGCTCCCCGTAAGCTCAGACCTCAACGAACCGCACAGTGCACACTCACATCGGAAACACCCTCGAGGGATCTTTGTATCCAGTTCGAACTTAGCTAGTGATATGCAGATTGTAGTGCGGAGAATCCCAAGAGGCTCGTCTCCTCAGGAAACCTGCCGCGGAACTTCGACAAGGGAAATGCCAAGGTAGAAGCAGAAGCTACTTGGTGCACTCGTCTTGCAAATACCTGGGATGCCAAAGTCGAGGATATCCAGAAGCTCACGGGATCCCTTCACTTCCTGCTTCCCTGGCCTTGTTCTCCGATATCCCCAAGGTGACGCATGCGATGGGGCTATCATTGTTTCATTGTAAGAAAATTTGATATGCTAGTACTTGGCATCGTTCCAGACAAACTCGGACAAGGAACCTCCAGCTTTGGAACTGCATGGAGAATCTCGTCCAAGGCCTCCCATTATAAGGTCGTATGTGAATCAGTACTCTAGCCGAGTGAAAGGTAAACTATTGCACAGGCGTTCACATCATGATCATGATGAACAGAAGAGAGTCTGAATCGGGACTCGGAAAAGTTGGCATTGTTTGTTCCCAACAAATATACAGCTTTCAAGTTCACAAGGTGAGTCACTGATTGACACCACATGTACGATACACAAGCAGTATATAAGGGACGCTGCCGCCGATGGGCTACGCGATATCCCAAAGCTGTTTCTACCCCCACAATCCATTGCTGACCCTCTCGCGTTTTTCTTGTGCCCCGTCTTTGCATTCCAGAGCAATGCAAAGACTGGCTTCAAGCGCAAGGTGAAACGTGAATTTCTGTTTTATACCAGCGCACCGCCGTAGCGAACAAGAAGGTGACCTGATCTGTCTTGATCTGTGCGATTTTGAATACTCGATGAGGTGAGTTGTGGGTATTCCTTCGTGCTTGCGACTACATGTGAAAAAACTCGATAAAGGTCGCCTGCACAATCCATCGTCAGCCGGTGTCCGGATCGGTGTCTTGGAAATTCAGTTATCTATCCACGTCGATGAAGGAAGCGGGCAACGGAGTGACGATTGGAAGCATGAAGGAGGTTCGTATACGTTATCCGTCCAGTGAGCTCACTGCTTGTGATTCTCGGGGCCGTGGGATCGGCTATACGAGTCACCCCCGATTTCTTCCTTCGTGCTGCTCGATTGACATTTTCCAGACATACGGAGATATATGTGATATTTTGAGGTTCACACGCTGTACCGTATGGATGCCCGGTTATTTATTTTGCAGTGTGAGATATGAAAAAGTCTCGCGGTTAGGTTATTGAAATTGAAGGGACCTACAAGGACCTATAGCTATGCCCCAGCATTACTATTCAGATTGATGAAGAAGGTGGTGTTCTTATGTGCTTGGCAGTCACTATTACGAACATTGCGCAGTAGCCAGCGGGGCCGAGCGTCAGCGCTAACTTCTAAGGGTCATTGCATAAAATAGACGTAGACACAAATGCCGAAACAGAATGATTATTTTATTATTCTTGTACGTTTAGGCTAGCACGACCAAGGAAACGAGCAAGCCCCCATCGACAGTTGAGAAAGAAGCTTGAACGTCAACCATCACGACATCAACTACCAACACTTATACCACAGTTATACCCTCTCTTTCTCCTCCAGCGCTACTTTGGCGTTACCAACCTCGACCTCCCTGTCTTTGACGACGACAAACACACTCTCTAACTGTAATGAAACAACCAGTGTCCCCTTCGTCAGCCCGGTCCCCGCGTAATCAATTAATAGGCCACCCAACTTTGGACCTCCACCACTCCCATCATCATCATCTCTCTCCCACTACTGCCTATCCATTACCGACCAATTCACAAAAACCTACAAAGAGCTCGGCATTTAAAGGTTTACAGTCTGTTTTCCAGCGTAAACCGCCAGATCGCGCCCTTGTCTTCGAATTCTCTCCGATCTTCCTATTCAGCTTCCAACGCATCCGCCACAGATAGTCACAGCCCCCACCCATACGCCGCAATGCCTCCTGCTCCTTTACCTGTTGTATCAAACAATGAACATATCGACGACGAACAAGAATGTCCTGTATGTCTTGAGCCCTTGAGCTTTAGCTTCAGACTTCCGGGAGAAAAGCCCCATGTAGTACCAGAGTGTGGTCACTCTCTTCACGAGGTCAGTCCTTTTCCTTGTCATAATATCCCAGTCCATCACACTCCTCCTCGTCTCACCATAGGCATGTTTTACCGCTGTGTATGGTCCTCCACCAGGGCAAGCCCGCCCTGCAGTGCCTCGCAAATCAAATCTCGGCGTCTGCGGTGTTTGCAGACGACCCATGAAAATTGGCGACGGAGACGGTAGCAAAAATAATAGTGAGTCACACTAGGGATACCTATCCACTAATCTCACTATGTTATAGAACTCGCCGCTCTAACTGGCATGGGCAATCCCCATTCCCCTGCAGTCTATCCTGGCCGTGATCAAGGCTCACGCTCTCGACACAGCCCAGTGCCTCAACAACCCTACGATCCCACAGATGATGACCCAATAGACCACGCCATCTCAGTCAAGTCAGCAAGCGAATCACACTACGTCGTCGCACCTTCAATCCAAGTCCGCCCCGAATTTTCTTCCATCACCCGGAATGGCGAAACTTGTCAACCTTTGACCTGCATTGTTGTAATCGAGTTACCTGCCAGGCGTGGAACAACTCATGTTCCGGGTCCTGTCATGGCCGATGCATACGGTTCTCGGAGTGCTCACACGCTCACTCGAAATGATACTGTAACAGAGCTGCCTCATCCGTCCCAAAATGATACCTTGCGACGCCCATCCCAAACTCAACGCTATGATTCATATGCCGAGCCATGGTCAGCTACCACCGAGTCTTCCCGTTATAGGCCAGGCCCGCCAGCGGAGGAAGAGGGCGAAGAATCGTCACCTTTCAATGCTATCGTTGAGGATTTGCGCAACCGGATAATAGATTGGAAAGGTCACGCGTTGTCTGGCCTCGGCCCATTGCAAATGTATGACATGCTGTCCGTCCGCCGAGATGCTCTTGTGCGGGAGTTCTTCGTGTACCTTTTTAAGGAAGCCATCATTTGCGTTGTAGAGGAGAAAAAGCGGTCTCTTGGCCGGTTCCTGTCGTCACCGGCTTTCAACGACGCTTCGACTTCCGTTTCAGGCTCAAACAACCAGTCCAACAAGGGTGTCCTACGCCTCAAGGGTCGCATTTATGTGCGACATATCAAGCGTATCACTGCGAGCACAAGCGGGGAAATGAGCCTCACGATTGAAATGGAAGATGAGCGACTCGACTCCTTCATCCTCGTTTTCAAAGATCGCTCTTCCTTGGATGCGTGGAAGAGCCAGATCCAGGGCCTAGTAAACTCCTTCCAGAATCAATCATCGCCGCCGCAGCCGCACATTGACCGTGGCCTGGACATGGATGAGTTCGGGGGTTCAGAAAAGGCTGCGCGGATGCTTAGCGGGAGCACTACATCTACAGCACCAAGCACAGTCGATAGTCTGCTTCAGGGCTCCTCACGCTCCACCATGTCCTCGTCGACCTCCCATGGTTCCGTGCCTCAACCTCAATCTAGACAAATGCACAGCAAACTTCAACCCCTCGGTGAGGACGATGTACTCTCGCACTATGAGACGCATCCTCCAGGCATGGTCACACCACATGTATCTGCTGGACCCTCCAATTCACTTGCTCCCCTCCCACATCCGGCACTTGATCTCATTCTTATCGTGTCGCTCCCTCCACCCAGTGCTCCCCGCAGCACCGCGGCGCTTAAGCTCCGCGTCATCAAGACATCGCTGGACTTTATTCTCGCTTCTCTCGGAACCAAGGACCGTTTGAGTCTTGTCACTTTTGAAGTAGGACCTGGCGGACGTGTGCGCAAGACACCTTACCTTTGCGTTGGTAAGGCGTTCAGCCGAGGGAGGCTGTCCAAATTCATTGATGAAATCGGACGTCCGGACGACGGACAACATGACGAATTCTTGGTAAGGGCTTCCAAAGAGGAGAAGACGGACGTTGTGACTGCGGTTAACCATGGTTAGTGCTCACCTTTTCATCTTTACTTTCTGCTGACCATATGTCTTGAAGGTCTCGATGTTGTGCTTCAACGCAAAGCTCGCAATGCTATCTCGGGGATGATCCTGGTGAGCGATGCTGCAGACAGCACGAGACGTGCACAAATGGATCTTGTTCTTGCCCGTGCCGAAGCTGCAAACATGCCCATTCACTCATTTGGCTATGGTCGCTCGCACGACCCTGCTTCGCTATGGCTCATGTCAAACCACACTAGTGGGACATACACCTTCGTCAAGGACTGGTATGACCTCCGTACCTGTCTCGCTGGCTGTATCGGCGGCATGATGTCCATTGGCCTGCTTAACATGAAGCTGCACATGAAGATCGTCGACGGTCAACGTTTCCGCATCCGCAAGGTCTCTGGTGGGCCCTCATCCATCCTCTCTACGGATGGCCATAACGTCGACATCGACGTTGGCGAGCTTCGCTATGGCGAATGCAAAGAGATGCTCATCGAGTGTGAGCTCGACAACAACGAGACTCGCCGTCCTGCGCAGAACGGTAATCGCGCGCTCAATGCCACGGATCAGTTTGTGCAAAGCATGGGTCTTGATTCTATGACCATTGATGATGGTGCTGATCTCGTGGACGGCATGATGGATCGGATGATTGATGAGGTTCCGGTACTCGAGGTCGACGGGTCTTTCTATGATCCCAGCACGTCGAAACATGTTTCACGCCTCGCACATCCCGTCCTTTTGACGATCACTCTCCTTCCTCAAGCTACTACTCCTTCACCCAAGCCAGTCAAACCATCAGATCCAGTGATCGTCCGGCGCAGAATGGAACTTCTCGCATCTGACATGATCACGCGCGCTCTTGTCCTCGTTTCGAGAAAGAACTACCCTCAAGCGCAGAAGATCATGAATGAGACCAAACGCATCCTGCACACTGTGCTGCAAAGCATCTCTAAAACACTTCCTCCGCCCAATACCGAAGGCACGACGATGCGTAACCGCAAGGATATCCTCACTCTTGCTGCGGTGCGTGCGATGCAGGCCATGCTCCAAGACCTTCAGATTTTGGCGGAGGCTTTAGAAGAAAATGTCGAGCTGTTTGCGCATGACCAGCGGAATTTTGGTGCACAGCAGGTGCGTGCATGTTTTTTGAAGCTTTCACAAGCAGGACTGACTGGGCCATGATTATAGGCCATGATATTGCGCGACCAGAAGAGCTGGAACGGACGCAGCGCCACAGAACGCCTGTTCTGGACCGTCGACAACTCCGTAGAGCTGGTTTCTCGGAGTACTGATTGGGTAGCGCGCGACTGATACCCTAAGACATCATCTCTTTTTCATTTTTGACAATTTTTTCTTTTCTTATTATGCCCCGTGACTGGTTACCCTGTCTAATTTGTGTCCATGCTTTCTCGTTTTGTTATGTCGTTCTAGCGTGGTTTCAACCTCATCGCGTTCCTTCTCTTGCGCCACCGTCCTTCCTTGTCATTGTCACCCAGTTCTGGATCACCTTAATGTAACCCCCCGCGGTCTCGTCTGTATGTCGAGACACGCGCTTTATGATTCCTCTCCGCCTGGTTTTTATTTCCGTGTTACTTATTTAACTGTGACTTCTCATTATATATCCACGCCCGCTTCCTATGGCTGTTTTCCTTATTCTTGGTCCAAGAGGTGGGAGTAATGTAGTTGATCGATTGCGTAGAAACGAAGGAAGCCTTTTTATTATCATTCCTCTGTTCATTATAAGGACTGTAAAGTACCTATGTATGATGAAAATATCAGGGCGTGGTGGCAGACTGTCAGGGTATCTATTCATAGCCTAGTCGTTGGCGCTCTTCGCGATCACGTTCGAGCTTTATGACTTTATTTTCGGTTTCGGTGAGGACGTCGTCCCATGCTACGAAAAGTTCAGACAGTGCATCCACCTGAAAAACAGTAAGTCAATTAATATTAACGAGAACCGATCGAAGATGAACGAACGGATACGCACATGAGTAGCATGTCTGTCAACAAGAGCTGCTATTCGCTTCTCCAACGACGCAGCTAATCTAATATCCTCCTGGTGCGCTTTCAAAAGCGCGTCCAAACGAGGCTGCAAGGTTTCATAGTCTAAAGACAATAAAAATGAGATCTCGGTGAACGATCAGTGAGGGTCTACACGACAGACCTGCGAGCTTTCCAGCTGCTGTCACGCCTTTCTGCTCTAGTATCTCGATCTCGCGCATGTCCCTATCCACAGCTCGGATTTCTGGCTCCATCTCTACCAGGAGCGCTTCTAGTTCTTCTGGGGACATGTTTTCGTATGTCGGTGCTGGGCCAGGGAGCACCCCTGACAGAGCGAATGCTGCAGTTAGTAGATGGGCATGTAGGTCATCTAGGATGGACGCGTCAGAACCAGAACCATGATGAAAGACGCGTGTCAGCAACCTCACATTTACTCATGAACCTCTGAAGACCGTCGTTGGATTGTATGACGTTGTCCAGGCGCCGTTGTACGTCCTCTGCTAAGCGAATGAGGGTTTCACCGTGCTTGAGCTCTGGCACTTTATCCTTCCCTTTACGATCCCGCGCATCCTGCCGTACGCCTAGGAGTAGCGCTTCGAGCCAGCGGAGTCTTAGTTCTAGTGATAGGGCGGGATCTATGGCGGGAGGTGCGGTTGATGGTTCGAGTTGTGTTAAAGGTGTTACAGTAGCAGTTGGCTGTTCAGCGGATAGCTCTGATTGGACATCATCCAAAGGTTCCATGAGTTCCTCGAGTGATTGCGAGGCAGATGCGACGCTCATTTGATGTACAAGTTGGCTGGGCGGAGGTGATGATGGCGGAGGCGTGGAAGAGATTATACGGTGTCGCTGCCAATCTCCCAAGAATACACTCCCAATGGCTGACATGTCCGTCAATCGTGAGATATTCAATACTTCGTAGATCTTGTAATGAAGTTGTTCGTTATTGAAACGATCTACTAGGCGACCTACTAGAAAAGGGACCGGAAAGCCTCGTGCCTTTCTGTTGCCTTGAAGCCGCGCGCACTTACTAGTTACTAACTGTGAATCTCAGTCTTTCCGGAATCCGGGGGGCCCGCGGATGGCGTCTCACCACACTCGCAATTAGTTGAATTCACACATGAAAGTAAAAGTGTTTGAATGTCCAGTGTACAATACTAACTAATATCATAGCTGTATGGTACAAATAAGTTAGAGATGGTGATCAACATGATAAACGCGGCTTCCAGGCGAACTGATAATACGATATGTATGTCAGTAATAATTTAGAATGATGCAATGGATAGAGTGAACTTCTGGTAAAATGCTCAGATATATGGTTAGAAATAATGTTATGCATCTCGAGAGTTATCATGTATGCGAAGACTTTGACGACGCGCACCAAGGGATATAACATCATCGTGTCATTGAAGATCAAGAGACCGTACTCCGTACGTTTGCGGGGGAAATCGCTCAAGCTCCGCAACGATACGTTTTCTTGTAGATACTCTTCTGAATCGGCCATCGTGATGACGTTCCAGCAACATTGCATAGAACGGGTTTCTGAGTCGTTGGCGAAGCAGCGGCATGGTGGTGTGGTATACATGCGAAGAGTCGTAAGAAAGTCGCGGATCCCAGGTTCGTACCAACAAATAACGAGGTGGGGACCGGTGGTCTGTTGAAGATGTCGTCAATGTCTCGGAGGTGACAAGACTGAATGGCTGGATGCCATCTGCACGGCAATGGTATGATCCTGAGACCGGCGTGAAGTAAAGCCACAGTACTTCATGCACAAAGCACCGTACAGTGATGTGAATTTCAGCGTTAAGACTGTATGGCCTTGGAGGATTCTCGAGAAGTTTGGCAAGGGATATCATCTCGCTCCCTTCAAACGGAAAACTTGTAGCCCGTCTGAGCAAAAAAAATGCTCTGATTGCTTGGGATACTGGCAATATGTGGTGCGCCATCATCATCAGACCCACCAACGCTTGTCTCCTCGCTTGTGCTGTGACCGTCCTGAAGATGAGACGAGCTGAACGTAAAGCATGTAAGCACAAATACGTATTTCAATTGAAAAATCTCACTCTCTTGCCCTGCGGATAGCCCCTTTGAACACATAGATGACCTTTACAGCCAGCGCAAAACTCAAAACAGGAGGAGGGGGGCCGTCGATACCCATTAGGATAGGATCGTCCGAGAAGCATCTCGGCGAGGAAGGAAGGGAACTGTTCAGCGTTGACGGCTCCCCGATCCAGTCCAGAAGAGTCGCATCTCCCGTGCGCCTCATGATCTCCATCAAGAGTCGAGAGAATGCATGGTGACCCTCTCCGTAGTTGACTAGCATAGTGAATCCGAAGATTCCCATCAAGCAATACGCTTCGTCTTCCTTCTCCTTGGTCACTCTTTGAAGAGCCCATCTCAGCTTCATTCGAGGGTGCTCGACACTTGGACAATAGAATTTGAGGTAACTTTTCTGTATCCCAGTTGCGGATTCTAACGCAACCAGGATCTCGGCAACGTTCTTGTGGTTGAACTCTGGGGATTGAGAAAATGGGGCCCAGTCCTTCTTGTAGAGCCGGATGACCTTGGCGGCAAGCAATTCTTGAAGAGTCCAGCCCCTCCGGAACCACTGACTCAACAACAGTGCCTGATCGCTAGATTCCACGACATCAGAAAGGTAGATGATTGTCAGTGCCGACTCGCGATACCACGAGAACATGGAAGAGATGGACTTCTGTACTTCGGCGCTGCTCGTCTGATCAATGCAGCATGTGTCGATCCATGCCCACTGAAAATTGTGTTTGTGCGCCTTGTGACAAAAATTACGAACTTTGTCGAATCTCGGTGTAGAAAGCTGATAAACACCCTTTTTTGGGATATCTTTTAAACCGGGTTCGTCGCCCTCCCACCTGTGTGAGAGCATGACATATGCAAAGAAGTTTTTGACCACTTCAATGATGTACTGCTTTTGATCCAGAATAGACCTGGTGATGGTGAGGGCGAGAATCGAGCGAAATGTATGTGACTCTTCGAATTTCGTGATGAGAGCGGGGTGAGCATAGATTTTGCCATCTTCGGTATTCAACAATCGGAGGGGCATGTCGCGGAGTATTGAGCCTGCAATATCTTGAACCGCTTGCTTGACTTCTTCTTCGCCCACCCTTCCGGGTGGGAGGTCGCCTTCTCCGTCACTCTGTGCGGTATGAAAGCTCTACGATTCGATTTATCCGTCAAATCACGTATCACGCACAAGGAATACGGACCTCTACAGAAGATTGTTCATCTGCGATCAGAAACATCTGTGGTGAATAAGGTTGTGGAAGTCGACAAAAAGCAGGTTAATAAGTCGTTGCCTACCTTCCGTAAGTTGGCTATGCCAACACCTCAGGCGCGCAGGAACATGTGACGCCCTGGTAGCAGATGCCCAATATCGCCTGATAAGTCAATACCCCGCAAGGAATTGGGTTGACAGACACTATTTTGGGTTTGACTCTTGAGCGCTTGCGTCTGACCTGTAGCTTCGGGATTAAGTATCTCCCAGTCTACTTAACTTGCTTTTGAAAACCGGCATAAGTAGGTTCATATTATACTATGATAATCGGGGGGCATTGGTGCCTAGACTCTTCGTCAGATGACACACTTTTTGTAGCATTGCCTCGATGACGTTTGAGCCCGGAGATCAAGCTAAGCTTAAGGGTGGCACTTACTAGGGTCACCGGGTGACTTGACACGGCCCAGTTTTAGATCTGCCATGTGCATCGAATGTTATAATTTTGGCTCTTCAGACACAACTCGGGCTGCATCGTGGTTGTTTCGCAGCGTTAAACAATATGATGCACAGTAATGCATGCCAGTGGTACAATTATGGTACTCACTAGTATGAAATCAAGTCGGGATCGCCGTCTCAGATGGCGCCGCGTGTCTCGGGAAGTCCCGGGCGACTCTCAGGTTCGATGCCACGATGACAAGGACCACTTTGGCTTGAGCACCTTAAGAAAGGGATATGAGCATATGAATATAGACCACGCCGAAGAGCCTGAGACAACGGAGTTGACAGAACAGCCCATTTGTGACAGGCTCAGGTCAAAGCTAGTAACGTTGACGTACTATTAATGCAGTAGCTGTACAGGAATTCAGATGTTAATATTGTCATCATGAAAGGACGACTGCTTTCCACATGGTCTGATAACTCGGTCGATAATATAACGATTGTTTGTCTAAGAGTACAGTCTAAGTATTAACTTGAATAAGATAGTCACGCGCAAAGAGTATACATCAACCATACATACAACAATATTAAACTTCCCAAAATCCCATCAAACACTATCCGACATTTCCATCGCAAGCTGGCTATACCCTTCATCCACCCTCCGCCTCCTCACCAATCCCTTCACAGAATCCCACATATCATCCAACGCATTTCTCCCGCTCTCAAACAATGTCTCCCCGTATACCGTCTCCCCGGGCATCACACTCAACAGCGGCCGTCGCCACCATCGCAGCATCAGCGAGCTCGTCACTACGCTCACCGACGAGAACGCCATTGCGGCGCCTGCCAGCATCGGATGCATATACAGCCCAAAGGGCAAGAACACGCCCATCGCAAGCGGGATCCCAAGTACATTATATATACACGCCCAGACGAGATTTCGTTGGATCGTAGAGAAGATGCTGCGCGAAAGGTGTAGCGCAGCAACGACATCGAGGAGATCAGAGCGCATGAGAACGATGTCGGCAGCTTCGATGGCTACAGAGGTCCCTGAGGAAAGGGCGATGCCGACCGTGGCAGCCACAAGGGCGGGCGAGTCATTGATGCCATCACCAACCTGAAAGAATAAGATACACAGGTCAGATCCAAGGCATCCGAACAGAGTAGAGAGCAGAGACACATACCATTGCAACACCGCCGTTGCCCTGCCCCATAAGGTCCGTAACAAGGGACGCCTTGCCTTTGGGACTCATGTTGGCCCAAACGCCATCGGACTTGATCCCCACTTGTCTGGCAACCGCCAAAGCTGTGACCATCCCGTCACCCGTCATCATGTTCACCTCAATGCCCATGCTCTGTAGTGCCTTGACTGCCTGCGCAGACGAGGGCTTGGGGGCGTCCGACAAAGAAACTGCAAGCAAGGGCAACGGAGCAGAAGATGCCCGGGACGAAGAGACGAAGATCACCGTGCGACCGAGCTTGCTCTCTTGAGCCTCGTAATTCGTCAAAACGGAAGGTAGCTGTACAATGTTGGATTGCGCGATGAACCGTGCGTTTCCGATGTATAGAGTATAGTTGGAACCAGATGATGAGATAAGAGCTTTCACACCAGCACCAGTCACGCTCTCGAAAGACTTGATGTCCAATGCTGGTGATTGGACATCGGCACCGGCAAGCAGATTCTTGCCATGAGCGGCGATGGCTTTCGCAAGAGGGTGTTCGGACTTGCCCTCCGTGGCAGCGACCATTGCTATGATAGTTGCGCGCGTAGTAGTGCCGTCGGCGCATTTGAATGACAAAGATTGAGAGCCGACGTTGTCATCGGGTAAGAGCTCAGAGGAATCACGTGGGGGCATCCATGTCATACCCGCAACAGTGAGTTTCCCCTGCGTGACGGTGCCTGTTTTGTCCAACACGATCCGTTTGATCGACCGGCTAGCCTCGAGTGCCCTGCCACCCTTGATAAAGATCTGGTTCTTTGCACCCACACCCGTGCCAACCATGATAGCTGTCGGCGTACTCAGTCCCAGAGCACACGGGCATGCGACCACCACCACTGATATGCACATCTGCAAACAAACTGCTAGCCGGCTCGCACCGTGGCTGTGGAACATAGCTGGGAGTTTATCCTCGCTAATGACATGTGAAATCACCATCCACGTAGCGAATGTGAGTACTGCGAGCGTGATGACGGCAGGAACAAAGAAGCCTGCAACACGGTCCGCAAATGCCTGAATTGGTGCTTTGGATGTTTGTGCCTCTTCGACGAGTTTGACGATTTGTGCAAGCGCTGTATCTTTGCCTGCACGGGTCACGAGCATGTCGAAAGTCCCAAGGCCATTGACGGTGCCCCCGATGACGCTGTCTCCAGGCTGTTTCAATGCCGGAACCGGTTCGCCAGTGACGGCGCTTTCATCCACGGTGGATGATCCTCGGATGACCGTCCCGTCAGCGGGCACTTTGTCTCCGGGGACAAGTTTGATGGTATCCCCCACTTGCACCAGCTCCGTAGGAATGCGTTTCTCTTGAGTACATGCCGGAGAATCCGTGTAGATCGTGGCCATGGTTGGTGCGAGGGCCATGAGATCTGTTAGAGCAGCGCTCGTCTTTCCCTTTGCGCGGTTCTCGAGATAACGCCCAAGGGATACGAACATGATGAGCATAGTACTCGTGTCGAAGAAAATAAAGGACGATAGTCAGGGGTGGTGTTGAACGCTGCAAAGAGTAAGGCAAATAACGAATAAAAATAAGCCGCCGAGGTTCCGATCATGACCAAGACGTCCATGGTCGCGGTACGATGTCTAAGTGCTTTGAACGCATTCCGATAAAACTTCTGACCGACCCAGAATTGTGCGGGAGTCGTAAGGGCAAGAAGGATAAGATCACCGAGATAGATACCGTTGAATAAATGAAAATTGACGAGGGGTCGGAGGAATGGTATGTGCATCGCGATCATGCTGACGAAGAACACTGGCACGGCGAATGTGAGCGCCCATTTAAAGCGGCTGGCCCACTCTTGGATCTCTTTGGTTCGGGCAAGTGATTGTTTTTGCGTGGCATCCTCTTGATTTGACAATATTGCATCAAAACCCATATCTTCTATGCGTTCGACCATTTCCCGAGGGCCAACGAGACTTGGTTCAAATTCTATCTTAGCTGTCTCGGTGGTGAGTGAGACGGCAACGCTAGTCACCCCTGGCATCCCACGCAGCCCAGTTTCTATAGCCGACGTGCACGAACCACATGTCATGCCATATATCCGCAATGTGATCATATCACAGCGCGCTATTGGTATTTCAGTGGCATCAAATCCTATGTCTGAAATTTCCTGCCAATAATGATCAGCATGCACCTGATGTGTCAGCGACAGACTAACATTGACAATCTTCTCTGGTGTCCATACAGAAGGGTCATACTCGACTACACCTCTTTCAGCAAGAAGTGCGACTTTGATTGAATGTATGCCGGCTTGCGGTCTAAGCATGCCTTCGATAGACTACAACCGATGAATACATGTATAATGCATTGGCATGACACGAGCTTACCTCTACACATGCACCGCACGTCATGCCCTCTATTCGTATTTCACATTTTCCTAAGCCACTGTCGTCTGCCTTAGCGACCGCCAGCGGTTCGTCATCCATGAGAGGAAGTTCGACATTTCCAAGAGCTGCGAGCTTTGTCCTTTCTAAGGCGCTTGACAGAATGCCAGATATGATTGACATAGTTCAGATAGCCACGAGGGGCAAAATACTTATATATGAAACGCCTAGCGCACTATGCCAAGCTGGAAGTTCGGAATCGTTCTCGGTTGAGATGTGCGTAGTGTTTCAGAGAAGAGAAAGTAAGCACCAGCACTGTGATAGCGGTGGTATTACTTATAGAACAGATCTGAGACTAAATCGGCGGGCGAAGGAAGGCTTTGTAAAGGAGACCGAGCTGTCGCAGTGTTCACCGCATTTTAGTATAGAGTACACGTCCGTATGTACCTTTCTAAGGTCTAAATGCCTTACGTCATCATTCCATCCCACGTCATCAGCGGAAGCCCTGGCATCACCATGTTAGTACTAGCGTGTACCTGCAGTAAGCTAGTTCTTTTTTTTGGGGGGGACGAGCGATATATATTTGTAGCCACTGACCTAGTTCTGCTGCCAACATTTTGTCTCCTTCGAAACCTACGTTGAACGTTAAACCACTGTCCTAGATGGGTCTTTTTCTATAATCGTGAAAGGTGACTGTCGGTCGGCTGTCAAGTTGTCTGCGTTCCTCCGGAGTCTGCAGGCTGTAGCCCTCTTCTTAGTCGGCAATACCATTTTAATCAGCGTCGGGCACTGTCGATGCTACAACTTCCACAGGATACTTTGGCTGTTTCTTTTTCCAGCACGCTGTCTTCGGTTGCAGGTTTCGTGGGATCCTTTCACTGGCAGCGGCGCTGCTATGTAATCGTGAGCGGTGTCGGGTATGTCATAGGTGGATCCAGGATAATGGCTTATTTTCTAGCTGGCATTCATGCACATTCTGCTCAGTCCAAAGATCCTCCATCACTTCTTGTTTCGACGGCGCGAGTATTGCTCCTGTATCTTCAACGCCAGTACTACTACTTTTCAATAGCTTATCGCGGTTCGCCGTGTACCTGGAGGTGCCTGGTGCCAGTCACTGATTCATATGTGGCGACCCCTTTGGACAATTGCGTGCAGTGACTATGTGACTGCGGTGTCTTCCGTTTTTGAAAGGAACCATCTGACTTGTCTATTTTTGCAGAGCTGACAATCACCTCTGCTCTGCTCTTCACCCAACTTGATGGGCACCGTACAATTTGCTACCGATCGATAGCAATGGTGCTTGCTACAATATGGTAGAGGCTTTTGTACATCCGGATTCGCGAAAGCTAGAAGTCATCTGGATCCTACCGGGACGATCAAACGATTGTTTCATTTTCTGCCAAATCGGCAAGTTCTAGAATCAGACATTCAATTTGGATGAAAGATGAATTAAAAGAAGCCGAGAATCTCCAAGCTTCATAAGACACGATCACAAACGCTCGACGTATGATAAGCAAAGTATATCCGCAAACGATACATGTTATCACTTCGCTATGACCATCAAACTTTACTCCCGTCAGAAGTAGCAACACGTTTCAGGAGGATTTGTTGGTAGTTTTCCCATGTAATAATGAGCTGCAACAGTATTGAGGTCTTCATTTAAAGCGTCATATTGCAGCACATACCTCTTTCTGTCTGGTAATCATCCCGTCCAGGAAAGATTGCAAAGATATCTTGAAATCATCCACGCGCTCCTGCTCAAATCTTGCCATTTCAGATTTGATCAGCTTTGAGCACTGATCAAATTCGTGCTTGGCGTCCAGAGCTCGACGTTCAGCCTAACCAACTCAACTGTAAGAATTTCCTACAAAAAAAAAGAAATGATCGCACCTCTGATATTTGGCTAACGGTGTGGCTCATCCGATCCGTAGGCAGACGACCTTGAGCTCGAAGTCGTTCATGATTTTGCTTAACACGGCGGACGTCAGAATCAGCATTTTGCCATGCAGTGTACGTTCGCATGCGAGAGTTGAAAGCCATCTAGGAAACAAAGTCAGATGAAGCAACGTATGAAAGACACCGGGCAACCGACTCGGACAGAGTTGATCAACCTTGAATATTCGTCCGCTAAAGACCACTTAATTATTGCTAGAAATGTAAAACAGTAGACTTGCCGGTAGCTAAAAGAGTCATTATGTCCTGTTGCGATTGGATGGTTTGAACCTCCTCAGCCTTGTGCTGGACGTCAGCCATGGCAGCCAAGGATTGCGCCAGTTGCTTTCCAATGTCTGAGACTGACAAATCAGTGATTGCAGTAGCAAACTCCCCAGTTGCAGCAGCCAATTCTGTAAGGCAATCAAACAATGCACTGGCGATATATCGGAAGACGACACACCGGCTCGTTGCTTCGCAACGATTTCTATTGACTTCACTAATCCACGCAACTGCGATTCGAGGCCATCCAGATATGCACGCTGTCTATCAAACCACTGCAGGAATGTGAAGTCAACATGCGTTGTGATAAACAGGCTTTATGACGAACCTCATCGGTTTCATGAAACCGCGAACCCGTCAAGGTTTGGCCGATAGATGCCATGAGTCCTCCCCTTTCATGCGAAAGCTCAGCTTTCCTGTGTTTTATCTGTATGTCGCTCAAGCCAAGGAAACTTGAGCAGCGGAACCGTATAACGCACGTCTAAGGAGAAAGTGTCACTTTCGAGGAAAAGTTTGAGGTCAGGGTCCTTTGCCAGCACTGGGTGATTGACAATCTTTTGGATACATTTCTCGAGCGCCACTCGCCGCTGTTGTACAAATGTCTCGTCGAAACGCCCAAACGGGCTTTTCTCTGGTACGGGAGGGACAACGACACCCGGATTGTTGGCTGAAAGTGTTTCGTATAGCCATAGGAAGTCTGAATACCGACGTAGCACAGAAAATATTGACTTCTGGAAAAGTGGAGAGGTCGTCTAAGAGGCTCCTTGAGTGATGTTATCGGCAGCACGAAGCAAAAGTAGCTCACTCGTGTATGCACGGTATACATGATGAACGACCGAATGGGGTCACCCACACGCTGAGGATCGTCGACCGAAATGACGAAGATTGGAGCTGATGATTCGCTGCTGTTCCTGGTAGAAGCAGGTGATGTTGCCAGCTGCTGCACAATGGGTACAACAATTCATAATCCATTGGGCAGACACTCACCTGGGGAGAATTAATCCTGTCTACGCCCTTGAATTTGGCAGATTGGCAAATCGGCTTGTCATCATCATCTTCCTCATCGGCTGCAGTATTCACGACAGGCGAATGAACAGGTGGCAATGGATCATTCGCTCCCCAGTCAGACTGCCAACCTCGCTGGGATTCCGCTTCTACCGTAACACTTGCAAAAGTTTGATCAACTACTGGAGAGAAACTCCGCTCCAGTGGCGAGATAACAGCACGCTCTGGACTGTCAGAAGGTGTGGCAATTTTGGTAGAGGAAATAGCTGGAGTAAGGGATGGGGATGACTCCCTGTGAGGTGGTATTACTGCTCTGACCGGCTTCTCATCTTGAGGAACGGGCGATTCTGATGTAGGTTCGGAGACGGTCGTTGTATGCTCTTCCGCGCTAGATGTATACATGCTGAAGCCAGGTGTACGTGGGGAGGTAGTATCTGTCGGCGCTGCGCTGTGCTCATCATCATGGTCTTCAGTAGTCACTGCAGCCGCATCTAGTGGGTCAGCTGCAATCAGGCTGCTCCGATCACTGTGCCCGTGGTCGCCTGTTACATATGACGCAGTCGTAGGTGTTGCACTAGTACTGCGTACTGGCTCATCCTCGAAGCCGGTCCTGTAGTAGTCGATATCATGATGCGCTGGCCCTGAGTTAGTATGGGAGAAGCTAGACCATGGGTCTGGCGAAGAAGAGCGTTTAGCGAACGGGTCTTCGAATGGATTTTCTTCGAGGACGTTCCGAGAGGGTGCGAGAAGGTCGTCAAAACCGTCCATGGAATGAAATGCGAAGGACTGAATTGAATGACGGGCCTGGGAGTGAGTTTTAGCACATATAGTACTTGATCAAGTTTCAACACTAAAACGAGTACTTCAGCGTGTAATCACACGAAGTCTGGTCACATAATCATTCTGGCTACATACAGCGTCAAGATATATCCACATCATAAGTAGTCCTACTCATATGGCATCTCCTCGACAGCATTTCCAAGAGATACCCAATTAGCAAGCACACTACTGGCGAAAGCTTGCTCATCATGAGCCAGATTCTGCACTAACTTGCTGAGCAAAGCATTCTCCATATTATGCAGCACCACACGAAGCTCATGCCACATCCTAGAGGGCGTTAACAACCACAAAAAATGGCAGCCGTGAAACACTCACGAAGCACGGATAAACACTCTTCGGTTTAATAGTGTAGCGATCGTCGCTTGGTCTTTCTCTATCAGACCAATAATTCGATCGGCGTCATCCTGCCAGCCGTCCTTCTGAGCAGCCTTTATACCCTCGAGTTTCATCGAATTCGAATCAACTCGTTTCTTCAACCGGTCGACATTATCAACAGATAGACGGTCGCGGCGGACGAACAGATCTCGCATCGCAATATACAGATCCCTTTGACTCTGCATCATCGAGAATAAACGTATCAACAACCTGCTGGCGATTTGCTTACCTTCAGCGCCTCCAACGTTGAGTAGAGCAATGCGTTTGTCTGCAGTGAAGGGTTCAACAAGTAGAAAAACTAGATAGAGTAATACACTGACTCGTTGTTCCAGCAAATCAGATTGCCGTTGTGTATGTGAAGCAACTTGTGCAATCCCCTGTCGCACGCCATCACACAATTCGCACTCATCCCCCCTCCAACACCGTTCGTTCACTTCAACGACGGCCCTAAGCACATTGGTCAGCCGCGCCAGGTCTGCCTGATCATCCAATTCAAGGTCATCGGAACGCGCAGTGCGCAGGGACAATATTGATAAAGAACCAGCCAACGACGTTGTTGACGAAGCGGGTCCAGGTACATGATCATGGTCATGGTTATCCAGAGGAGAATGATGGGGAGAGAAGAAAGGGAAAGTGAAGTGAGCCGGTAAATAGGTGCGCCTGAGACTTGGAGGGATCCGTACCGCAGCTGATTCGCGTCTCTTTATTATGCGTTCTGCCAATATGCATATTCTCTGCCACTGCTCTATTAATGGACTCATCTTCCCCCGCACGAAACTTCAAAACCTTTAAGCGGACGGCAGAGATAATGAATATGTTACACATACACAAGCTTGTCTTCGAGGTCACTTGGGACGGTGATTTCTTCTATCCTATCAATATGTCTGCTAGCAGATTCTTCTTCTAGCGATACGGCGGTGTGTTTTCGCCAGTTCTCGAAGGAAGGTTCCGAAAGGAATGTCGCAAGGAGACCGTCCTCCTTGATCACCGGATGGTTTCTGAACGACCCTCAATCCAAGTATACCAAATGAGGATAGTAGTCACATACATCACAGCGTTCAAAAACCTCGCAAGACCTTTCCTGTTACAAACATTTCAGATGTCCTGACTGGCAAGCACCATGTTTCCACACCTTCGTTGCTCAATGAACGCAGCGTCGGCTTCAATCCACATGAGAATCAAACCAAAGATTGCATAACACAGGGCTTACGCTGCACACGCTTGGGCGGAAGGGCAGGTAGCAGACGGAAAGGGTATCGTCGCACCAAGCAATCCCATAAAAACGTAAACTCTGAATACCGGCGATGGACAGGTGTGCCGTGCTAGGCACACCATATAATATCAGTGTATTGGAAAGGGATAGACGAGTGTGCTCTCACTTCAGTGATAATCTCATACACCGTATACCGATTCAGGATGAACCCCTGCTGCCCTTGGATAGTCACATCCACGGTTTCTTGTATCTTCCACCACTCCCTCGGCAACCCCGACCCCGCTAAACTTGATGCAGCTCCACCATTGATCGTCGTCGCACTCCGAGGGGCAGCAAAGTCAGACCCTCCCCCATTATTTCCAAAACGAGGTGCGCTCCACGGGTCCAAAGTGGCCTGCCTATAAGTTGGGTAGGGGGAAGAGAGAGCCGACGTGCTCGGCTGTAGGGCGTCAAGGTGGAGAAATGGTTCGGGTAAACTGTTTTCCGCAGCACGGGCAGCGACTTGTTCCACGCTGATGTCTAGTACCCGAGCCCACTTATGTATTGATGTAACCCATGGTTGAATAAACGAATCTCGCACCTTTGCCGGACTGAGCAAGCGCTAATAATGCAAGAGCCACGAAGAATTCGAGCTTGGACACCCTTGGTCGAGAGCTTACGAGGTTCACGATCTGACATGGGATGAGCAATCTGTCCTACCGCCAACCACCGCATCACTCACTTTGTCTACAGTCGTCGCAGGTAATCCAGACGTCGACAAAACACGAGACAATGCGTTTACGGACGTCTCTCCAGAATTTGTTGCATCTACGACGGCAAATGCCCTGTTATATGAATCCGGGACAGTCGCTTCCGCTGTCCAACCATCACTAGTCAGACGGAACCACAAAGTTTTTATCTCAATTCACACCTAAAACTGAGCTAAGAGCAGATGACACATTTGGTATGGGTTGCGGGGAAGGTGAGGGGGCAGCGCTCCACGGATCGTCATAAATTGAGGCAGCCAGTGGATTCTCATCGACGAAACTGCCTCCAAGACCGTTGGCAGGTGCGGAAGCATATCGTTGGGCTGGCCGCGGTGCGTTGAACATCCTGGCTGCGGCAAATTGAAGGTGATCGTAGTGCGGACTCAGCAGTAAATGAATGAACAGGAATGAACTAAGAACTTCAAGCAGTCAAAGTCACCAAACAAGGAGACTGCCGCGTGTTTGCAGCACCATCAAACTGTGACCGCTCGGCCAATAATCTCGATTGAAATTCCTAACCAGCGGAAGCTAACTACGATCCACGCGCGTCACGCTACATATAACTGGCAGCTCGCCAGCACAGGCCTCGTCCATGAGCAGTCAGAGGACAAAAGCTATCAACCGTCTTATCTCCTTTCGTCACTGCAGCTCGGGCCAGAGCCCGCAAATATCGCAGGATTGATATCGCAAAGGCCCAACATGTAAGCCATAGACTAGCAAGCCAAATAGATTATCATCTACTATGTACAAAATCTCGTCGTGCATGTCGCGCCATTCAATTATCCCTAGTTCTATCTCACGATACTTCAGCAATCTCCTTTGCTGCGAAGTGCAATGTCCACGATGACAACAAGCGCTTCCCGTTGATCGTCTCTCCATCAAGCCTGAATGACGCATTAGTGACGCTCGGTTGCGAGAACTCAAAATCACCACTTACCCAGGCGTGCCATATGTCAATGGCGTCATGTATAGGAACATCAAGAACAGGATGAATGTGAATACGCCCACCACCACAGGCCCTTTCATACCAAGATCAGCGTACTCTGATTTGCGCATTTTCGTCCACCGTCCTACAATACTAATCGGGTAATTGACCGTATCCGAAAGGACGAAGCTAAGAACGGAGCCAGCAAGGAGTGCAGACGCAAGATGCGATGGGAGGTAGTGGTGGATGAAGAGCTGTCGATTCATAAGGAAAAAGGGAAGGTAGTGGACGGCCCAGATCAGAAGGAAGAATCCAGCAGAGTTCCATAGGCGGCCACGGGCAGCTAAAGTAAAAGTCAATTTCTTATTCGCTCAAAGTAAGTGTCTACCGACCGTCAGGAATGGGATCAATGCCACGACGACGGGCAAGTAGGTCAGCACCCATGATACCAACGTAGATGGACAGTGCGATGACGCACGTCCACCAGCCAACGATGTTACCAATAAGATAGATCTGTTTTTGAGCGTCGTTGTCTGTCCAAAAACTGATCCCGCTGATGAGGAAAGGCCAGTTGATCGGACCGCTAGCATAGGGGTGTGATGAAGTGAGACCCGCATTATGCTGGAGCATCAACAACTGCAGCTCAGCAAACTTCCTGAAGAAGCTGATTTTCTTAGGTTCCTTCAGGACTTGTTCGCCAGAGAGATCTTCAGAACCTGAATGAAGGGTCATTATGACTAAATCTACCTGATGAAAAAATCTACTAACTTTCATTCGAGATCACTTGGTCGACAAACCAAGTAGCGCTCTTCTCCGTGGGATTCTTGTTACCATTGATCTCCTGTTGCTTGAAAGCCCATTCCGGCAACTGTTTAGAATGGGTCCACATGGACACCCTAGTGGGACCATGGACAAGTCTGAAGTGGCTCGATTTGCTCTTCCATGGATCCTCAGAGTCGGCGTCAATAATGTTCAAGTAGAACAGGGTATCATTGTGTCGTGAGTGATCATCCTTGGGCCATGTAGTGAATTCTTGGTTTGTTGGCAAAAGCGGGGAAGCGACATCATGGGTGAGTAAGAGTGTTTGTGTGTTGACGTGCAAAAGTTGAATGACATCTTCGTGGCGGACAACGCGACCGCGGCCAGCCTCAGGAAGGGCTTTTGTGGGGATGATCTGCCAGTGATTGTTCACATCATCATGTCCATAGCCGGTGACCTGCTGTCCTTGACTACTGATGCGACCATCGTCGTACTGCAAAGGGTAGCGGTCGGGATGCGAGTGCAAGTAAACTTTTGTGTCCTTGTGTTTCATAGTGACAACGTCGTAGTAACGAAGCTCTGCAAAATCGAGGTTTAGTTGAAAGGAAGACTCGATGCAACTTGCTCCATACCTTGGCTGTTCATCAACAGTTCATTGCCAATGAGAGTCTCCTGGAAAGCGGGGCTCATGAAAGAGTCACCAGTTCCAGAACGCGTAAGAACGGCGAAATGCACGTAGAAGAATGATAGATAGATTATGAAGGGGACGACGATCAGGCCTACTGCTCTTGCCATGAAGTGCTTCCAGAAATGTTCCTTGAGATAACGGTAAGCGACATGCGCAGGACGTTGGGGAGATGGAGCCTACCATTGTAAAGCCTTTCTTATGGTCCAAGATATCCCACAGGTCAACTAAAACAGCGATGCCAATAGTGGCTACAGTCAGGATGCCGTTTACTTTCGCGCCCCAAGTGCAGGCCATGAAGAAGCCAGTAGCGATCAACCAGCTCCACCATTCAACGGTGAATTCCCTAGGATGGAGAACGTGTCAAATCACGATATCTTAAAAAAACAGTCATAGCACACCAGTAGCGGAGTTTGCGGAATCGGATATATGAATAAATTGTGAGTGACATGAAGAAGATCAATGTCGCGTCCAACAGAATTAACCGTGACTGTGCAATGTGAGCGTTGTCTGTGGGGGAGTGTTAGACACAAATAGTAGGTTCACTGAGCTTGTGCTTACCAAAGAGAATGATACAGGCGGAAAAGGCAGCGATGATAGTAGAGTAGCCAGTTTCTTTCATTATTGCGTACACGACGGGGACCGTAAGACTTCCAAGAATCGCGGGTAAAGCACGCATGCCGACATATGGTACATGATTATCGGTGTAGTTATCCCCGATGTTCTCGAATGTAAAATGACCGTCAAAACCGACGAACCAGCCAGCGAGTCCGAACAATAGTTTCGCGAAAGGGGGGTGCACGTCGAAATAGTACTCGCGAGTGATATAAAAGGAGGCAAACTTCCCAAAGTGTACCTCATCAAAGCTATGTGCGTGTCAGGCTAGGGACCAGAACCAGGAATTATAAGTTGGCGCTTACACCACTTGATCTGGTTGATTTATTTTGTAGAAACGAAGCGCAAATGCTATCGCCGTCAGTACACCCACCATCGCAGCACTTGCTTGTGGAGTATCTAAAACCCGTTCGATTGCACTGCGGGAGTTCTGTATAACGGGAAAGTATTGGTCATTGAAGACTGAAACAGCGAGCAACATACAGGATTTTGGTATATAGCGTGTACGTGGTCGTCTTCATCCTGGTCATAGCTGCCCGTGGTTGAAGAAGAGGCGACCTTTATTCTCTGACGTGGTCTTGAAGGACTCGCCATCGCGGTGGAAGGTTGAAACGTTGACACGGAGGTCTTTGACAACGATGATCAACTTGAAGAGAGTCTGAGTTACCCACAGTTGTCACGTGTACAATTTAGTGAGGCATTAGCATATAAGCACACATTTCCGGCGGCTCGGTGTCAATTGAATCTACCCTGCTCAGTGCTGTGTATTTGCAATCCATCCTGCTCTACTACTTAATACCCCGTCATGCTGTGCGGCACTAATACTGGCATGCCATGCTCTTAATTGTTCTCTCTTTTCAGCGTTCAGCTTAGTTCATATCAATCAGCAGCACGCAACAACCTGCACCTTCCATGGATTAGTCGGTGTTTAGAATGCGTCCAGGTATAAAATTACTATTGCTTTGCCCGATGATGACTTGGCTGTCACCATTTTTACCTTTGGAGCTAACACAACTCCGTTGAGGATGGCATTGGTATCTCATGCAATGTCGCCGCTTGCGCTATACCAATCGGTTCAGCAGTGACTTTTGAATCACTAATCTCATTGTAAATAGTCGGTTTCCTATTCAACATAACCTGCACAATTTCTCAACTGCATTTGATGGTGTGGGTCAAGTTTCGCTTACAAGTTTGACCATCTATGCTCGCTGGGCGCGTCCAACCAGCTCCAAAAGTAAATCCTCTATGCGTTTTTGCCTCTCCTCCATCCGCTTCATACGCTCGAGCCATCGAACCATACTTCTGTCCTCAAAGCTGCTTTCCTCCGCCTCTTCAGCAGTTTCCGGTTGGGTGCTCTGCTGCGGGCTGGCGGAGAGCGATCCTGGACCATCGAAAATTTCGGGACGCGTATTAATCACGGGCAAAGGAGGTCTGCGCTGAACGATAGGTATCGGATCGGGACGCATCATAGATTGCATTGACGCCAGCCTGCGACTAGCCGGGCCATAGCTGACGAGGGGTGCTGGAGCGGAGTGCGGAGTTCCCTCCTTTGGGTCATCATCGACATCGTCCGCTATTAAAGGTTGGAAGACCTGTACGAGTGGACTGATGCTTTGAGTTATATCGGCGCGACTTATTTGTGAGTTGACACGTCGACGGAGAGCAGAGGCACCAGATGACTGGGACGCCTGGTGTGACAGAGGTCCGAGCTGTTGTAGTAACGGCGACCGGGCGTTTGTCGGTGTCAATTCGGGTTGTGATCGAGGATGAGGTTGTAGTTGGGATTGCGGCTCCTTAAGAGAGCGAGTGGGACGAAGTGGAGTCTGGTGGTCTGACTTTCGAGATGGACGCCGTTGAGCCATGGCGCCTGCTGGAGGAAGTTCACCGTAATGCCTGGTATCCAATGCGCTATTGTCCATTTCTTCTTCTACTTCAAAGATCTGACAAAAAAAACATCAGATAATCCCCACGTGGCCGAAGAAAGCTCTCGCACAACGTCAATAGTGCTCCCTGAGCCCACCAGTCCCTCGAAGAACGCTGCAATGACGTTCATGTTTGAAAAGAATTGTAATAAAAATTAACGAGACTTACACATCCGCTTCAAGGGGCGTGGCAACGTATCTAAAACCTTCTCCGCCACAGAAGTAATAGTTTCATAGAACCCATTCGAGCCAGCCTTCTTGGATTGGCCTTGATAGACGATCAATAAGAGAATGGATAACAGCGGCTCTAATCACTCACGTTCATACAAAGCAATGATGAGCAAGATGGGAAGATTCGTAGCTCTGATACAAGCATTCAGTGAAAGGTGTAGAACGGTAGATGATCACAAACCTAATCATGAATACGTTGACCTATATCCCATTCAAATTGATAATTCCAACACATGGGCTCCGGGACTCACCTTGTGGAACCACCTCGGTGACAGTACATAGCTTGAAGGCAGCAGAATGCAAAGAGCCAGTACGTTTACTGGAGGCTGGTATGAAAATAATGAGTCGGCTTTGACACTAGATGCGAGATGTCAAGAGGCACGCAAGCAAAACTTCAAATACTACTTGCCCCTCAATCGTCGACACGGCTCTTCTGAACATCGCCTGTGTCGAAAATGGAATCAATAACTTGTATATGGCCATGCTTGAGAATCTTACCTCCGCTGCGGCATCCTCGTTGATCCTTGCGAAGGTATTTGAGAGAATCTATGTGAATGTTTTGGTGTCTCAACGACTCAAACTTCTTGGTAAACTTACAGAAACGAGGACTAGAGAATATATTTAACAATAGTGTACACGAGTGACAGATACAGCTCACCAGTCAGCAATAGTGTATTGCTCAGACACGCATAAGTGATCATAAGGATAGGTCCGAACACAAAGTCAAATTCAACTGACGACAAAAATTCGTTATCGTAGATCAGCACCAGAAAAGCGAGAGCTTACAAGCTTTGTCAAAGCCACTAGCATCGAGACCGAACCACAAGTCAAGCATCCACCACGCAATTGTCCTGCAGAAGATTACTGACTATTGTGGTATTCGACAGCTGCATACTTACCCTGCTGAATACCTGACGAGAAACAGTCAATATACTTAGCCTCATCTCACATGTAATGATACAGACCGAGCGTGATTCCGGCTCAACCTGGAGAAGCCAAAATAAACAGAAGAATGACGTTATAAAGACCGCTGCACTCACGTCCAGAGAGCATATAAGAACCCACAAAAGCAGAATGCGGCAATCAGCATAAGCGCAACAAACTGCATCATCATCGCACGGAGCGATAAAACCATCAAATTATTCTTGAATGTTACGAAGGCGAGTCTAAACAACATGTGTCAGCTTCTTAGGCCAGTTAATGGTATTAAGTAGCACCTTGGAAACATCAAGCATGCAATGACAGCCAGAAAGTCAATTCCAAGGTCCTGGGCCCAATGCTCTGCAGATACAATCTGTTATCTAGGATGAGTATAGGTGACAGCATATTGACCCACCGTGCCCATACACGCCATACAGTCTAAAGAAAGCGTAGACGCAGTATGTCGTCACTAAAGAGGACTGTGAGCAAGTCATAATGGCATCTCATTAGTCAGTCTACCAAATGCTAGATCGAAGCCATTCTTTGCAAGCTGTCAACCACATTAGATCTCGCCAGGTGGTGATTTTGCTTACCCAAGTGCCCTTAAAATAAACTGCAGTCGCATGAGTGAATCTGCTCGAGCCCGTGATCCCAAAATCTACCTGTGATTCCATGTTCCTGTATGGTTGCGAGCTTTTCCAGCGCAAAACCAAGGCCGTATAACATAAACAATGTTTCAGGGATATTGATCCTCAAGGGTTCGTTTAATTCAATAGCGACCACAAAAAGGATGAATAAGATGAGGAAGCTAGTAGGGGCTCCAGTTAGCGAGGAAAAACACACTTATCCTGCCTTACTTAAAGTAGTCCAAAACAGAGCGGATAGCAGGGACTTTGAGTCTGTAACAGATGAATTTCAATTCATGACAAAGAGGTATTGCATACCGATAATGGTCCAACAAAGGTGCCTTGTGTGGATCGTAGAAATGAATGGGCTTGTGTTTGTACGTCTGCATCGCAATTCAGGGCTGGTGAAGCATGTCAAAGTACGATGGCTTACATCGGACAGTATTGAATGACTACTTTTTGCCTGGTATACACATTTACCGCTAAGCAGGAACATGTCAGCACGTAAGACAACGCTTAAAAGGATCGACATACATCCAGATGCCATCAATAACTTTTTGGCATGGGGAGCTTTTGATGAAGCGCCTTGCCTTGCTTATGATGGCCATCTCGATTGCGTTTCCAACGCGTTCCTCGAGATCGTCATCGCGTTCCTCCCTTGCCGTTTCGACTATATGAGGGTCAGCACCTGACCAGACTTGCCATTTAGTTGTCAGGACAAGTGCCATGTTCAGCATACTGCTTCCGTTATCTCTTAGGCAACGAATAGCGAGTATCTCGCATAGCATGGCGCGCGAGCTGGACAGCGGTCCCGTGGTCAAGTTTTTCTGGTCACGTATGAAATAGACACGGTTGAGAAGGAAACAAAACACGACAGATTTGTTTCCAGCCCGCTGGATAGCATTATATTTTTCCTCTAAGGGACGGACGAGAGTGTAGGTCAAATCAGGTCCAGTTAACTACCCGTCCAAGTCAGAACCTAGTCTATAGCAGAAGAAAAGTGGACACCGACCGCCTCGAGCATCAGGGGTGTATCTGCACACATTATCAGTACAACGCCGCAGCACTGAAATTGACTTGCCTATGTAGTGCTATTGTCGTATAGGTATTAGTCAAGAGTTCGCTGGGAGGTATAAAGAAGCATACTATGACGTCCTATGATGCAGATGTTAGTAGACTCCTCTGTAGAGATGATGCATTAATGCATACCCCACGGATCATATGGATAATAGGCCAAACGTCGACATCTTCATGAGCCAGCAATGGCTGCGTTTCCGGCTGAGCTTCGGCCATAGTCTGATGTTAGCTTGACATGAGGGAGGATGCTAATTGAAGGTCATTAGGCGTATCTGCCACATTTTGAGCTCCGACACGCACTTGACAGCACGCGTCTCACCGCGCGAACGCGACTCCCACCGAGGCTAGGTATTTTGACCGCGACCAATAGAGCCTGACTCTGCATGCAGGCCGTACAACGAAACGTAGGGCAGTCGCCCCAGGTAAAAATATATAATGCTGTCTATTCGTCGGTTCAGGTTAGTTGACACCATTTTCTGGTACTAATGGTGGCTGACACGGTCGCGTCACGCTATAGGTTTATGAGTGTATGGTCCGGGGCATTGCTGTGATGCGCAGACGCGGTGATTCGTTTGTCAATGCTACTCAGATTCTCAAGGTAGCAGGTATCGAGAAGGGTAGGCGTACTAAGATCCTTGAGAAGGAAATTCTGCCAGGTAAGCATGAAATCGTCCAGGGTGGCTACGGGAAATATCAAGGAACATGGTTCGCGCAATCATTAGATTTTAATTCGGCCGTATGGACTGAATATGTCGTGTTGTCAGGATTCCACTGGAGCGAGGCCGCGACATCGCTGCGCAGTATGGTGTTGCTCCTCTACTAGCTCCTTTGTTCGATTTCACACCTAGCACAAACACCCTTGGGTCGCTCCCAACGGTACCGTCAACCGCGTCTCCGCGACCTCTCTCTGCTGCCTCATCCTTCCCAAATCTTGGTACTTCTGGAGGCTACTCACAATCGGGTCTAGCTCCACCTCCCATCATGCCAGGTTCTGCCCTTCGCCTCTTGAACCAGGGGCGCGCCCAAGGCTTATTTACTCCGTCTACATCTTCCCTTGCTCCAACTAGACAATCGACATACTCTTCGACACCGTACCAGAGTGGCTACGCGCAGGCACCATCCTCTGGAGGAGTGTCCCCAACACCACCTCCAATCCAGTCCTTGAAACGAGCCCGGTCTGATTCTGAGGTAGTCCCAACTACCCAACTACCTGTTCCTACCCAAAGATCTTCACATCCATTGTTGGAAGCACCGGATATACAAATATCTGACCGATCCCGTCCGCCTTCTGTTGTAACTCAAGCCAACGATGAAGATGGACCATCCCCTACGAAACGCGCTCGTAAAGAGCCCACCCCACAACCAGATGCATCTCAAGCATCTCGCAGAACGTTGTCTAGCGGATCGATCATGTCACAGTCAATGGCAGCTCTCCCTCCGACTCGTCCACTTTCACGCGTCAACGTCGGTTCGCCACATCCAAACAATGCCGTCTCGCGTCCACCGAGTATATCGACCTTTGCAAGTGGGAAGGTGATCGATGGTGCTGATGTTGATGGTACTGGTCTTCGGTTCTCCACCAAACCTCATACTCTTCGCGATCCCTCTGCTCTTCGAGACGCCCGTCGCGTTAGGCTCATTGCTGCTATTTGTCGACAAGATGACCCCGCACCCGTACTCGACCTCCTACGTGAATTAACACCAGACATGTCTTCTCCAATTGATATAGACACCATTCTAGACGACAAGGGTCACACTGCTCTGCACCTTGCTGCAAGCATGGGCAGGCAACAGACTGTTTCTCAACTCATATCAGCTGGCGCGGACATTCACCGCGGCAACTTTGTTGGCGAAACACCGCTCATGCGTGCATCTATTGACACGCACAACTTTGATCAACAATGCTTCAATCTCCTTATCACTTCTCTGCACACCTCTATCCGCACGCTTGACACGTCCAGAAAATCTGTGTTGCATCACATCATGTACTTGGCGGGTATACAAGGACGTGCGGTCTGTGCTCGATATTATCTCGATCAGATCTTCTTGTGGATAGCACAGAACCAGGGTGGTGATTTTAAGTCCCTCGTAGACTTGCAGGATGAGTACGGAGACACGGTTCTCAACATCGCTGCGCGTGTAGGCAACAGGGCTTTGGTGAGAACACTCATTGACGTTGGGGCTAATCGAGTATTGCCTAATAAAGTGGGTCTGCGGCCTGGTGACTTTGGCGTTGAGGTCGAGGTATATTGCATCAATTCAGTGTATGTGACGTTGATGCTGAATTCGGTCCTTCCAGGAGCTTAATGGTACTGCACGAGCCGATGACATCCTTGCATCATTACGTTCTGGACCTTCAGCACCTATCCAGAAGAGCCAGGACATAATTGCAGGTATGACTGACGTGTTTCATGCTCCAATGGCACTCTGATTTCTTGCCCCAGATATGACGTCGATGATCCAGGAGCTCAGTACCGAATTCTCCACTGAAATCAAAGCAAAACAAGACTCACTTGATGTGACGCAAGCTCACCTTCGGGCAGCCACGCGCGAGCTTTCCGAACAGCGCAAGCAAATACAGCTGTGCCAAAGCCGATGTGGAGAGCTTGATAAGGTCCATCAACGGATACGGAATCTCGAGAAAGCTATCCTAGATGAAGATCACTTCGACTGGACAGGTCGTACAGATCTAGTGGGCCGGGATGGGCGCGAGACGGCCGGACCTGCCTTCCAATGGCGTGGACCAAGTTCGACGATGACGGGGATGCCAGGATCTATGGACATTTCGTTCAGCGTGGAACCAGAGCCCCCATCACCTGCCGGCGATTCCGTCTCAACCTTGATACGATTACGGCGGCTGAAACACTGGCACATGAGAATGGAGGGTCTCATGCAATTAAGACTAAGATCGCTCCAGGGCGCGAGCGCTGACAAAGAATATCAATGTAAGAAGGTGGTTGCACTGTGCACAGGTATCCCTATCGATAAAGTGGAGGATGTGAGTGGCTTAATCACGGTGGGAAGTGTACGATGTTTATTTACCGGTGAAATGTTCTTGTCTAGATGCTGGAAAATCTTGTGGTGGCAGTCGAGAGCGAGGCACAGGTTGTGGACATAGTTCGCGTGGCTGGATTCATGCAGAAGGTGAGCTTAGTTTGTTCCGCTTACCCCGATTCAGGTTAGCTTACATTTCAATCGAAATGCAGGTCAGGGATGGACTTATATAATTTCATTTATTGCCCCGGATCGAGAAGATCCGTGTTTCAACCGAACACTGTACTGCTCATCGCATCCGTATAATACGCACTGCCAGAGTTGGGTTAGCTTGCATTTGTATCTCTCCAGCAACAGTTATTATTACGAGCAAAGCATTATTACACTGGGACATCCTCTGGAGCGAATAATTGGAAATTGCGATTGTAAGTACTGGACGCGAGCAGCTCTCCATCGCTTGTTAAGTCCACAGACATGACCTTGCCCGAATCTGTCGTTAGCGTGCGAAGTAGCTGCCAATCGTCAGCGCTCCACAACTTCACGTAGCCATCGTATCCAGAACTGGCTAGATACAGCCCTGAGCGGTATTTCCACTCCTGGATGTCGTCCTCAGCGTCATGACTCTTGTCTGCATCTGTATCTTCAGTAATCCCGTTCATAAGAACATCTGCGGATTCAGCCTTGGTCTTGAATGATGGAAGTGCATCAGCACAGAAGAAACGGACGTCGGACACATTGGAGACATGTGCAGGGATGGTGTACAGTGCTTTCAGAGAGCGCATGTCCCATATCCGTATTGTGTCATCGCCAGCGCCGGTGGCGATTTGATATCTAGTCAAAAATGGTCATCAAGATGGGCAGAAAACTGTCGGAGACAACCCACCCGTTTGGGGAGAAGTCAATTCCGAAGATGCCTTGAACGTGACCGTCGAGTACCATTGCTGTGCGTCCTGTCCGCAGATCCCACACTCGTCCAACAGCATCTAGACCCCTAAAGAACCCTGTTATCCAAGGTAAATTGTGATGTAGATGCATGGACTCACCCTGAGGCGATCAGTGCACCATCGCCCTGGAACTCAACAGCATACACTTCCTTTGAGTGGCCTTCTTGGAGGAGCAATTCTTTCGAGGAGTTCACATCCCATAATCGCCAAGTGGTATCGAAGCTAGCGGAAGCGACAAAATTACCAGAAGGGTGAAATGCTACACGACAGATGCGATCTGCATGTCCCTTCATCACAGAGAGCGGAGCATCGCTGTTGAAGAATATGAGGTTCCAGTGCGAAGAAAAGCTCGACGAGAGGATTCACCTATTCAGAGACCATAGATTGACACACATATCTCCTGCACCCGACACCAAATTCACTAATCCCTCTTCTTGTGTTAATGTTGCTTGCGGATGCCACGCAACACCACCAACACGATCACCGTGACCTGAGGTTGTTATCAGCACAAGAATGCGATATCATAGCATTGGACACTGACCTCTGAGTGTGCGTATAGTTGTGCATGCAGGCACGTTCCACAATTTAACGGTCCCGGACCAGCTACCAGTGGCTAAAATCTTATTATTGGGTGCAAAACGCACTTGCGATATTGGGCGCTCGTCGCCAATTTGTGAACCAATATTGCTAAAACGCTGCGGGTGCTAGTGAACAACGATAGTTTTATAGTTCCGCATCATTTACCTTGACCCCTGCAAAAACCTTCTTCCGTATGTCAATTATGCGCCCCAATGGTATTTTGCTGTCTATTCGCTGCTGGGCGACGCGCTTTTGAGCTCTGCAAAGGACAGGAAAGGGATGTTGTAAGCACCTTGCTGAAATCACCTATCGGTAGGTAAAATCCAACCTAGGCAGAGAAAATTCTGCAAGATTCCTTCGAGCTTGGAGAAGCTCTAGGGAGCCTTCAGTGTAAAACTCCTCCTGTAAACTGGGTCAGCAATCGCTCCATCAAGTAGAAGCCGGGAACTACATACCCCTTCTTCTTCGCTTTCTTCAGAGGATGCCTCTTCCATTGTGTGGTCATCACCTCTTGCGGCATTTATTTGTGAAAGGACATATATTAGTCGGTCTCGTCGATCTGCTGCCTAATTACAGTTAATCTCACACAATGAATTTGCACTGTTGTAAAGACTCACTCGTTCACCGAAAAGTGTGATAGGCTCTCCGATTTCTCGCAGTCTCGCTTTGACCTTATTGTCGTCCGTTGGTACAGCTAAGTTGCGCGCCTTCTTCTTTCGCTCGAGTTCATCGAGGATGACCTTGTTCTCCAT